GAAACAACAGCAGAATTCTCTGTCATAGATGATGATGACAAGTTCTGGAAGTGGATAAATTGCCTTATTATTTTACTTATTTTTTATTTTCCTTATTTGGTTTTGTCTTGTCTGTTGCTTTCTTTTGTTTGGTTATCCTATTCGGATAAACAGGAGGGAATGTTATGGAAATTTTATGTTTATTAATTCTTGATCATTGACTCAATCAACTGAATGTAATATGTATTGCTCTATGCCAGTGGTTCCTAACCTGGGGGTCCCGACCCCCACAAGGGGGCGCTAAAGCCTCTCAGTGGGTCGCCAGGACCTCTCCACTTTAAAGGGTTAAAACTTCATTTAATACTTGTTCATAGCCTACATTTTGCTCACATTTTTTTTTTCATGAGTGAAAAGTTTACTGATATTAAGACAGGAAATAATTAGTACAGAAAGAGTAACACACTTTTAAGAACATTTTACTCAGCTCACTGTTTTATTTTCAAGTGTCAAAAGTTCATTAAAGATAGGACTGGTTGATTAATCACAGACTTTACAGTAAATAATCTAGTATAAACAGTAATATACACATTTAAGTACATTTTGCTCAGTGTATTTTTTGTGTCAAACGTTTATTGAAAGGAATGATTGATTTATCAGTGTTTACAAGAAACAATGTGTTCAGAAAAGTAATACAAACTGTCAAGCACATTATGCTCTGTTTGGTTTTGTTAATGACTTTGTTCTGTACTGGAGCCTACTACTACTGTTATCTATTGAATCAAAGCATATTAAAATGTGCTTGAACAGTTTTATCATTTCTTAATACTGTTTGTACTGGAAGAGAGAATGGGAGGGGGTCGTCCAAAATTTTACTGGTAAAAAACGGGTCCCTTGGGAAAAAGGTTGGGAACCACTGTTCTATGCCTCTTTGCATGCCCACTTATTCAGACACGCCCATACAAGCCTCTCTCTCTCTCTCTCTCTCTCTCTCTCTCTCTCTCTCTCTCTCTCTCTCTCTCTCTCTCTCTCTCTCTCTCTCATAGGATCTCACGTTCATTCCTTTCTTATCTCTTGGTATAAATAAACTCTGTGACCAGATGTTCGGGGCATTTTGCCTCGTGCATTGTGCCACAGCGATAACTGTTTGACTTGTCTGTTCATTGTCTCCTTTTTTTCTCTTCGACTACAGGAAATGGGTTATTGATAAACATATTGATAAAATCCATGACATTTATAAAACCACAATTCATGGTGTTATACAAGGAGCTGCATGGTGGCGCAGCTGGCTGCACTTTTGTTTCCATGGTGTTTCCCGTCTTTTGCCTGATGACTGCAGACGTGCACCAGCTACCTGTGTTACTACTAGGATAGGTGGGCTTAGAACATGAATGAGTGACTAAATGTTATATAATAATAAAAATATGATTTTTAAGATTTGTCTTAAGGCAGGATGTTCAAAGAAAATGTTTGGAACTGCAAATTTGAGTTGGAAGAAAAACATTTTTCTGTGTCTTTGGTTTATTGATACAGTTTGATGCATGAAATTCCCTTTGTGTGAATTCTAATATTTTGAGTTTCACCTGTATACCAGGGCCCTCTGCCATACACAGTACACCATTGAAGAAATTGAAAAAGATGTACCTGCATCTGCTCCTGTCTGAAAGAAAAGCCCAAGTCTAAATTTTCCGAAATTGGTGCCAAAGACGATTCAAATGAGCACCTTTCCTGAGCAAATCCATCTCTTTTGCTTTGCTCCATCACAGTTCTGCTGCTAAGCCCACCCAAGCGCTTTGACTGGCCCAATCTAGACTTAGCTGAGCCAAGGGTAGACCTGCTGAGGCTACAAAGGAGCAAGGCTAGACCAACCTACAAAGATATATCTTTTGCTACTGCCACTGTTTGTCTAGATTTCTAGGCTTGATAAAAGCAGGCAGAAAGCCAATCCATCACAGGAACTCAAATACAAAACCTTATCCACACACACGCACATTTACATACATGTACAAGGTGAGACTGTAGGAATAAAGACCTTCTCAGTGGCCTAGCGGTGTGAGCGTCTGCCCTGGGACTAGCAGATCGGGGTTCAAATCCCTGGTCGGGTCATACCAAAGATGGGATCTAATGCTTCCTCGCTTGACACTCAGCTATAAAGGGTTGGATTGTGGGGTTAAACCACCAAACTGCAGAAAACCCGAAATCCAAAGAAAGAGCATACAACAAGCGCTTTGCAATTAAGACAATATTAAATGAAACAACAAAATTTGCACATCATCGCGATTCCTTTTTTTTTCAGTGTCACCTTTTTGTGGATGGATGCAATTTAGATTTAGATTTGGTGTAAACTATTCAGTAAGTCCAAAATGTATTTGAAGCCTTTTCCACACGTATTTTTATATCAGGAAGAGGTGAATCTGATCAAACTGCCCAGTTGTCTGCAGGTGTTTAATGATGATTTTTCCAGAGAGAAAGACAAATTACACCAGTGTTTACGTTCTGTAGTGTCCTAACACGTGTTCAGTCAATACGTTTAGACAAATTGTGTCCGTCTTGAACAATGTCTTGACAGATCACCTTGACTTTAATGCAGATGCACCCCCAAGGAGGGAAGTTATTTATATTTATCCTCTGGCTCGGTTGAATCAATAGACCATTACAGGTCTGCAACAAGTTCCATTTAATGCAGTTTTTATGCTACTGTATTGATTTCTGAAAGCTCAGCTTCACATTCAGTCTCACATTCCATAGGAAACACAAAGGTTGATCTAAATAAACTCTACAAAGGCTTAGATGTCCTTGTCGTGGCCTCGATTAGTCAAACCACACCATGAATCTGTCATCAGACTCTAACTGCCCAGAGGTTCTTGGTTTTCAAATTAGTATTAGCACTGCATGCACTATTTCTCAAAAGGTTTTAGGAAATGGGACCCATTTCCACAGCTTTTTGGTGTTTGTTGTTTCTTTTATTTCTGCAGAGGCTGTTGAAAAGCAAGAGAAGGACATTTCAATTGAAATGTGTTCCTTTTCACTGACTGAAGAGGATTGACGAGGCATTTCTGGTAAATAAAAAACAAATAAAAAAAGCACATACAATATAATAATATCACTCACTCAGCGATCACTAACCTCTCACACTCATTGTCCATTTTTACGTAAAACTGGTGATATGTGACGGAATTTGTCTCAAGAAGAGACATAGTGGATTTCCTCAGTCGTCCAAGTTATGGTATTCGCTTGAAACCTCTCATCCTACTGAGTGAGAGTTTCAGGTTTAAGTGTTGGTATAGTGACTATCACATACTTGAAGGATTGTTGAAAGAAAGAAAGAAAGAAAGAAAGAAAGAAAGAAAGAAAGAAAGAAAGAAAGAAAGAAAGAAAGAAAGAAAGAAAGAAAGAAAGAAAGAAAGAAAGAAAGAAAATGATCTTTGATAAAGCGCCTCTCAAGATAAAAATCCCAGTATAAAAAAGATTTCAAAAAAATGATTAGAAATATGTTTGAAATGAGAAAAAAAATTGTGAATTAAAAAAAGTAAGGAAAGGGAGAGAGAGAAAATGAACAGGAAAGAGGGAAACGCTGGTGAAACACCAATGAGGAGATGGGAGAAAGAAATAGATTTAGTGACATGTAGGTGCAGGAGATATGTAATACTGAGTATAAAAGTACGGCCTTACTCTTTTATCTGGTTAAAATAAAATCTCTGATGGTGTTCTTGTATATCAAATGAGCTCAACTTGTATTCTCCTTCTATCTGAAGGCAAATATTCCAGAGAAATTCTGCTCAACAATTTCTTAAAGGACTTCCGTCATGTTTTATTACACGTTCTAGGGCAAAGATAAGCTACATTTATGATCAAATAATACAGTTGGCGCTATTGAGATGTCACTTTTTATGTATTATAAGTTATTTTGTGAGCCATTCCTTCAATTTAGCAACTTGGATTCAATGAAACCCCACCTCCAGCCATGTGACACAAATGGCTTGATGGTAGAGGGTGTCGATGATCAAAAATCTACTCTTGTTTTGGGAATGTGTGGTCAATAGACCTTATTTATATTTATATTTGTCATAATACTCACCCTCATGCAACAATATCTTTTTTCTTTCAAACTCACCAGTGAGCCTTCAGCCTCTCCTCCTGTACCTCCTTCGACAGCTGAACTTTCTGTAGCCTGACAAAAAATGTTTATTTATGACATATGACTAGAGGGACCTGTTGGGATGCAGCAAAAATAACTTTAGTTGGTACAGACATAGACTGAGTAAATAACAGTTTCACGATTATGTATATTGTATTCACTAATAAAGTGGATGAATAAAATCACACGAGTACTCAATTTTTGCTCAATCTTGTCATCAGCAGGTTCCTCTTTGTCTTTCAACACACATAAAATCCTTGGGAAAAAATAGAAATAAAAATACTAAAACATTTAATTGCTTTTGCATAGAACGTTGCCAGTGTTGTTTTAATGACACATTTTTATTACCAGCTCTTTTAATAAAACATGGACACTTCAGCAGAATAAAACAATTACACAATGTGAAAATAAATCTCTATTACGTCCACTTTTTTCTTTTAGACTTTCTGTCCCCTGGCTGCTCCTCATTTATACCAAACACACATGAACACAGTCTGTCTTTGACTTTTCAGACCTTTAACCACAAGTCATAACTAGGTCTGTGAACAACAGGGCTCAAAGGTTAATCTTTGCATGTGACTCAACAATGAAGACATGCATCAAAACAATTATTAGTAATTATTTAAGGCTTTAACCTAAACAGTGTCGGACAATTTTCAAAATGAGTCTGTAATTGATAGGGTTATTGTAAACTGAGCTACAGCTTTATAGACAAGACTTATTTTTTTAAATGATGTAAACAAAACCAAAAAAGACTTGATTTAATTATTCTAATATTTAGAATGGGGCAGAAATTATAAACATTTGTTTATTTTTTGTGGACTGTTTCTTTAACGGATCAATTTTTCTTTTCCGGGTCTCTAACCAATCACGAGACTAGGACAACGTCACGTGCCTGCCTCTGCTCGGCGTCAGCAGGACAGAGTGGTGAGTTTCCAGACTCGTTTTATGTAACGTAACTTTCTCTTTTTCCACTTTTAATCAAACAGTTTGACACTGAAGACTGTTGAACACTTTCTGACCGTCTACAAGCTGAGCTTTAAGGTTTGTGTCTGAAACAAAGTAATTGTGTTTGAGTAGTTTTGCAGCTAAATGCGCACAATCCAAAAAAATATATACACCAGAGTTGCCTGTTGCAGCCGATGGTTGCAGCATGATTTTTCAACCACGTGACTGCCAAACCTTTCAAATACTTATTGATATTAAAAAGTTCTCAGAGTTTGATGAATCACAAATGAACTGCAACAAAGCGTGACGTAGTTTGTTTAAAAGTAATTACAGAGACAGATGTTCAGTTATAAAGGAAATTAGTCTCATGAGCTTTCGGATAATAATGTTATTTTCTCTAATTTGAATCATATAATGCACCACTGCTCTCGCAGCACTGCTGAACTGTTACTGTTTTACACGTAAGGCAGACAGTAGGTCGCCAAAAACGTCTCAACTATAAATCTTTCACTTTTACTGAAACTGAAAACACTTCTTGAGTTGTGAGTGATAGCTGTGATTTGGTATTAGAGGAGAGTCACATTTAAAAGTCAGCTTTTAAATAAAACAACTTTTTTATATTATACATTTATTTTAGGCTTACGATGGCACGCTCTCAGCTATTGCTTATTATATTAGAAAAAAGCTGCATCAGTCTACTCTAAACATGAAATAGTATATTAAATAGTATATTAAACAAATGGGTTGCAGATAACAACCCATTCAACCAATGTATTTACTGCTTATTTCTCTGTATGTACAAAGGGGGTTGGAATGAAGGCAACTGGACTTCTTTGGTTTTTTGAAGACATTTAGCTTCTCAGCCAATGAGCTTTGATAATTCTGACTGGAATATGAGCGGGTTAAGCGTAGCTGGCTATTGTTGCGTAACAAGCAGAAACTACCTATAACTACCCCTCCTCCCAACACCCAGATGAGCCTCTATTGTCTGGGGAACACCTACATTAAATAGAGGAGGTGGTTTCAGGTTTCATTTTTTCCAGCAAATGCAGTTCCGAATCTAATTCCCAATAATAGAGGCTCAGGACTCAGGGGGGGGGGGGGGGGATTCATAGGTAGTTTCTACATATTAAGCAACAATAGACAGCTGCAGTTTATAAACTTGATCCTCCCACATTCCAGTCAGGATTTACGAAGCTCCTCGGATGAGAAGCGAAACGTCTTCAATGAACTAAAGAAGTCCAGTGGCCTTTATTCAAACCCCTTTGGTTCACCATGACCTGGATGACTAAGAACCTTCACCAGCAAACTAGACTACCTGCATTAACCCACTCATACATGAAAACATGGTAACTCCATGCAGAAAAGCTGCGATTTGAACCTGTGGCCGTCTTTCTGTTTCCAACTGTGCCACCACACAGCCTGATTGTAAAGCTCAGGTTTTTTACCACATTTATAATAATAAAACGTCATATTTAGAGTTGAATATAAGCAAATGAAGTTTTTTTTATTATCTTTATTTCATTCAATAAAAAATAACACAACAGATAGTAAACAATATTCATGAAAACACAATATATATTTGAATGAAAGGGAGCAGATAGAAGAAAAATCTTATCATTTCTGCCCCCTTTTTAAACTTAAATATCAATTTATATTTGTGCAGTCCCTCACCAGTTCTTTCAGTCCCGTAACTGTTCACATTTGTTAATTATTACGTCCACATCAATTGTCCGTTGTCATATCCACTCAACACACGTGATTTAATGTGTAGACTGAACACTTTTAGAGTTCTTGACTCTTTCCATTCTCTGTCCAGGCAATTCCACAACTTCACACCATTCACAGATATGCTCATTTCCTTCATTCTTGTTCTAAATCTAGGTTTTTTGAAGATTTCAAATCCCTTCAACGAATAACTGCTATCTGTCTTTTCAAATATATGCTGAATATTCTTTGGCAATGTACTTTTATTTGCTTTATACATTATATGCAATATTCTCCAGTTGACCAAATCATGAAATTTAATTACTTTATATTTTATAAATAATGGGTTAGATGGAGCTGTACTATGAGTGTTGTCTATAATTCTCATTGCTCTTTTCTGCAAAACAAACAAAGGTTGTGTATACGTTCTATATGCAGTTCCCCAGATTTCTACACAATAATTTAAGTATGGCAGAATCAGTGCATTGTATAGTAATAACAATCCTTCACTATTTAGTACAAACTTTACGCTATATAATACTGCAATGGCTTTGGCCATTTTACCTTTTATATAGCCTATATAGCCTAATCTATTTATTCAAATCTAAACAAAATATTAAAGGGACTCTACGGAGTTTAGAATTTTTATGCTCGCGATTGCCCCCTCAGGCCAAAAGCGTAACGGCAGCTTCAATAGTAGGCTCGTGCACGAGGTGCGAATGCTGTACGTGCACACTCCTTAACGAAAATAACAGCTGAGACAGTCACGTGTGTGTGTGTGGGTGGGTGGCCCGGAGGACAGAGGACAGGAGAACACACAGCTAATTAATTAAATAATTTGGTTCTGTACATTTCTCTTCAGCACAGCTGACAAAGGTTTAAGTTGGGTCAGAACTGCATGCTCAGATGATTCCCTTCCCTTGCTTGAAAAATTGTTCCAAAATGAAAGTTGAACCCACATCTTTTTTATCTGTGAATTGAATGCTGTTCGCCGAGTCTCAAATAAAAATCTGGACATCTTACTGTAAAAAAAATATATCATTAATGTAAAAAAGAAACTCTAAAACAACCATGTTAACATTCAGAATCAAACCCGGGTCTTCTGCACATATGTCTGAAATCTTACTAGGCGAGCTAAATCGCCAGTGGCGTCTTCTGTATCTGTAACATTTATATCCTTGATGACAGCTGAAACAGCGTTCAAAGAACGATTCAAAGGCCTATGCCTGAGCGTGAACGCGCATGAAGCAGCCTGCTCGACCCGAGCATCTCTCTTTTTCTGTGATTTTAAAGAAAAATAGGCAATCACAGTAAAAATGCCAGGGCTCATTCTACAGGACCAGGGCATTGCAGGAGAATGTATGAAGAAGACATTTATTATTTCTACACATGTTTTGGCTGTCAAACTTCCATAATGCCCCTTTAAGCTAACATGCATCATGAAGTGTTAAGAGATCCCTATATAACATTTCAGGATCCCTTTGTAGATCTTAGTGTATCTATACAAGTCTTTTACCAAGGAAACAACCCTAAAAAGGTGTTTTCTTTGCATTTTTTAAAATAATTTGAGCACCAGAGTTCTAGTATAATTGAGGATAATAATGGTACAGATATAATGTTAATAAGGCAGTAATAACTTACAAATGAATAAATCCACATGCTTTGTGGATTTTTGAGATTTTCTCTTTAGTACTATTTTATTTCCCAGATGTATTCAGTAAGTACTTCACTTAGCTATAGGGACTAGTCACAAGGTCAACCATGTATTATTTATCGACGTTGAGAGAAAACACAAACATAAACTTCTATAAACATTATCTGGTTTAATGGACTCACAATCGAAACGAACCCTGATATGTCTTTTAGAGAATATCTTGGTCCCGCTTTTATTTTGGTAAGCATCTTCTGTATGGCAGTCTGAATTGACACACTAGTAAGAGTTTTGTGTAATATCCTCACATTTTATATTTAGCTATATATGTATTTACCGAGAAGTTAGTTTTTAACTAACTGCTAAAAAAACACTGGAATGTTTCAACCACTTTTTTTGTTGTTGTGGGGAAGAAACTATCAGTGGCATGTCCAGATCTTTTAAAATGGGGTGGCCCAGGTGAGGCACAACTTTGTGCATCGGTGGCACCAATGGTTATGCTTTTTTTGTTTTACCCCCAAGCCTTTTGTGGACAATGAAAAGCCTATTTAAAGGTAAATTAGTGTGGTGGCACCTGGGGTGGCCAATCAGATTCCAAGGGTGGCATTTGCTACCCCAGGCCACTCCCTGGACACGCCCCTGGAAACTATAACAAAAACCTGTTAATGTCTTGATGTATTACTTTGTAATCAGTGACCAATATAAAGAGTGAATTAGATTTTTGGGAAGGCTGTGTTGATAAAGAAAGTGAACATATAGTTAAAATTAACCTATTTCTGATCAACCTTCTCTCTTTTGTTTGTCTCAGTGAAAGGTGCACTATGGGCCGACTGGACGGAAAAGTGATTGTGTTATCTGCTGCTGCGCAGGGGATTGGACGTGCTGCAGCAATAGTAAACAGCTTTAATTCAATCCTTTCTGCTAATGCATATTATTGTAGATTACATGTGCACACTGTTGCATGCAGACTGAGATATTATGAACAAAACTGTTCAGAAATTTTGCCAATAGTGAGCTTTTCTGTCTAAATTATAGCACTCCAGAAACAAAAACAGTTTCACTTTGGCTGCTTTAGTGCTCATGGGCTGTAAATGATGCTCCAAGAAGCCACTTGAAGAGAAATAGATTTGTTGCCAAACCCAGGCTAGACACAAATTCACTAAAGACTCAAGTGTTTTGTTACTTCTTAAGCGATACTGTCACTGCAGGACATTCTTTGAGTGATCCATGTTTCAAAAGGCTTGGATTCTCCTGTTGCATGGGGAAGTATTTTAAAGCAGCAATCCAGAGTTTTCCCCGTTTCAAGAATTATGTATGATTTTATAAAAATGCATAAAAGTAATAATCAAGAAGTCTATCTTTTTTGCTAATCACGCAAAGCCCCAAGCAATTAGAATTGAGTGCTTCTCAGCATTAGCCAATAGCGTTAGACATCTGCTAACGTACAGATGTCAATCACAGAGCATGCGTGAGCATTAGAGTCCTGCAGAGTTGGACACATTTCTTATGGACGGTCTTTAACATACATAAAGCATAAACAGCACATTGTGAGAATATTATTTGTAAAACAATGTGTTTGAACTCTGTTGGCCAGCTGGAGGTAGACGTTCACAAACAAGAGGCATCGCTTCCGCTGTTATCACGGGAGTAGGGAGAGGAGCTTGTGATGCGATACATTTTTTCTGCCTCTAGATGGTACCATTGGAGAAAAACTTCAGATTTCAGCTTTAAAGTTGTGGTTGACTGAAAAACCATTTTCTAAATGTTTTGATAGAAAATAGAGGGTGAAGCTCTAGAATTTGAAAACCCTATGTCACACTGAGAATTAACAGTCAAGAACTCACCGATCTTGACTCATGACGGGGAAGGCTGTTGTTTTAATGTTTGGCAATCAGCAGCGAACGTCTTGGCTAGTCTGAGCTAAACGTTAGCATTAGCAATACCTCTACCTGGCAGAAGCAGTGGCGGATTTACCTATTTGGGGGCCCAGGGCGAACACAGACATGGGGCCCCCTTACACAACATTTTTGACAATCTTACCTTTAGGGCTGCACAATTAATCAAATTTTAATCACAATTACGATCTGAGTTTTGAACAATTATACAAACAAAACAAGCCGATTATTTGCTCCTCCCACAGTGTTGCCAACTTAGCGACTTTGATGCTATTTCTAACAGCTTTTCAGACCCCCTTCTTGACTTTTTAAATCTTAAAAGTACCTAGCGAACACCTCAGAAACATCTCTGGTAACCCTTAGCTACTTTCTGGATAACTGTCGTTGGCATTTCCTGCAGGTTAGCTAAACACTCCGTCTGCGCTCCGGACCGTTCTTCAGGACATTAGGAAAGGGAATGATGTAGTGATGTGTCAGTCACTAAAGAAACGGCTCTCAGAGTTGGCTCTGTTGGAGTAACCAGAGTGTGTGACACACACCGTACCTGCGGATTCCTGAGCCGCTAAAAACAGCTAAATGTGCGCGTGCGGCTCGCTAAACACAGGTGCAGCTTGCCCCTGATTGCTGTGAGACCGGGTCGGGGGGTGGGGGGTGCAGCTGTGGTTGGGACAGTTATTACATTAACTGATGGACCCGTAAATAAATAGTTTATAAATAAGGTAGAAATAAGTTCCTCACGCTGATAAATAATAACTAATCTCCCTGAGGATACGGTGCTAGTGCAGTCACCTACAGCACCTTGACATGACTTCAATAAATGTTATGCAACATTTTGTGAACATCAATTTATTTGCATGTATTTGTTATAAATGCCACTGTATAATTCTTGCTGTCAGTATTTGCAAGATATTGGTATTTGGGTCTGTACTGGTTAGACTTACATGAGTTAAACCAAGTTCTATAGCCCTTGGGTCATAGACTATGAGCTATAAGTATATTGGTCCTTTTATACTGGGAATCAGGAGTTATTAGTGATCATCGTGTTTCTTATTTATTTTTGTCCTGATTGTGCCCTGAGCAATTTTATGACTGAATAAAAACAAATAAAATCAACATAAATCGAAAAATCGTCCTAAATAATCGTGATCTCAATTTCAGTCACAATAATCATGATTCTTGTTTTTGCCATAATCGAGCAGCCCTACTTACCTTTAACTGGATTTGCAAAACTCTCCCCTCTTCTGACATGAGTTATTTTTTCTTTTTATTAGTCCTCTTTTTTCCTGTCTTTCCCTCTCTGAGTCTTTCTATATTTACTCTGCTTTCTTCTTCCTGTCAGTGCTCCAGTGCTTTTGCTTTGTTATTTTTTTTCTATTTTCCATTTTGATCTTTGTTTTCTTTCCTTTAAAAAAATTCCACAGTCTTTCTGCTTCCTTTTGATGTTTACGTAGAAAAACGACGTCACTTTCGGACGTGAAGATAAACTCTTTTTTTGAAGCAAGCTGCTTCTTCCTCTTATTGGAGCCACTAGGATAACTCCATTACATGCTTAATGTTTTGACTACCGCTTCTAGTTTGTTACGAATGCTCCCGCCTCTCTTCTTCTTCTGCTTTCTCTTCTTCTTATTTGTGGTCTTGTGATTACTGCCACCAACTGGATTGGAGTGGAATGACTACCAATCACTTCCTGTTTGTGCATCGAGTCTGAAAGGAATGGTCCATTGTGGCATTAACAGAGGGGTGACGGAGATCAGGACTAGGGGGCCCCTCAACATAAGGGGGCCCAAGGCAGCCGCCGACCTACGTCTAATGGTAAAACCACCACTGGGCAGAAGGCCTTCCAGGCTTTTGTTATTTGTGGAGATAAACATCCACGTTGCAAGTCAGTGGTAGCGTTGGGTTGCTGTTATCCAATCCGAGGTGAGATGTCCAAATATCAGGAAATAAGACTCCCTAACCTGCTGTCTGAAGCTTAGCTGTGATGACGGAGTTTTAATGCAGATTACTCGTTCTTTGCTAGAAGAAAGATTGCAGACTTTGAACCTTGAAGTAAATCATTCATGTTTGTAAATTGCAGGCGTTTGCAAAAGAAGGAGCTCGGGTCACAGCAACAGACATAAATGGAGAGAAGCTGAAGGAGTTGGATGGCATTGAAGGTATGGCTTAGCATTGTGTTGGTCTGCTGCTGCCACCTGCTGGGAAACACAGGTAGTGCAGTCCAAATTCTTTGAGGGACTCTTCTGTCAAGTTCTTTAAATTTGTATAAACTGTGTTGTATTCTAAAGCCTTCCTAAATCATTGACATGTTTATTTTTTGTAGTGTTAGGAGTGAATATACACTTTTCTAAGAAAATAGGCTCTGCTATGTTTTATTTTATTTGTTGCTATTTTATTTATTTATTTATTGGTGCAGCTGATAATGAGAGTAAAACCTGTGATGTTCTGCTTTTAAGCTCTGTCGAACTTTTATTTGGTCTGAAGGGGAAAATTAGGCAGTACAACGTGTGAGCCAGCAAATGAGGAAATTGCCTAAAAAAAAGAACGTTAGATTACAACTTTGGATTTTTAAACTCTAAACATCCAGTTTAACTCTTCAAAGCTTAATAGCCCACATCTACCACAAATGTTTGTTTTATTTTGACTTAAAACCTGGAAGTTTTGTATTTTTACACTTTTACAGAGTGTGCAAAAACTTTTGAGACTAGCAGCTTTGAGAACTTTTGAGCTGTACTTTTACTTAGTACATCTTAAGTACTTCTCCCAACACTGACTTAATGTGTTTTTGTGACCAGGAATCAGGACCAAAGTGGTGGATGTGACTAAAAAGGACCAAGTGGAAGCTCTGGCCAAAGAACATGAGCATGTTGATGTGCTGTTCAACGTTGCAGGGTATTTGAATGTAATTTTATTTAATCACAAGCAAGAAAGAAATCTAAGTTATTTGTTCCTCAAACATGAGGAACATCTTTATCTATCTACTGCCTAAATCCCTGCATCATACGGTTCAATCTGCTCCTGACCTTTTCCCAATCTCGTTATCAGAGAGTCATTGTCATCTTCACGGAATAGCGATATTGTGTGAGACAGACTGCACTTTTCCCTACAGTCTAAGAGAAAAGCTGTGGTTCTTCGTTATAAAAATGTATTTTATCATGTTATCTTTATAAAAAGTATTTAACAGATGAGCTGAATGTCCTGACTCGAATCTAATCGGATGTTTTTGGAATTGAGCGAGTCAGTTTCTGTTGTTTTCTAAGTTTACATTTTGAACACAGGTTTGTGCACCATGGTACCATCCTGGACTGTGAGGAGGCTGACTGGGACTTCACCATGGATGTGAATGTGAAGAGCATGTATCTCATGTGCAAGGCTTTTCTGCCTAAGGTGACCTTTCTTCATTTTATCACAAGAAATTCTTTCTTAATAAAACTGAGATGCATCTGCTCATAGTGTTCTCAGCCTTTGTCTGCTAGGATTAGCTGTTATTACCCAGAGCCTGTGACATGATGTGCTGTGACTGCTACTAATCCCGCTTTAGCTGCAAACTTAGCGAACAGTCTGCTTGGAGAATTTTAGCTCATACCAAAGTGCATTTGTGAATAATTCAGGGTATCCGCAGGTCCTTAAAAAGTCTTAAATTAGCTTTTCCAAATTTAAGGCCTTAAAAATCCTTAAAAATTACAAATAATACTTAAATACAGTTTCCAAAGGTCTTAAATTTTCAAAGACCCAATAAACAAGATTCTTTTATTAAAATTTTCGTGAATTTCTAGTTGGTCTTCAGCATTTTTTGTGTACGATGTTGGCGTAAGCGGAACCGTACACATTCAGTTGATTGTGAAAGGGGGCTATTTTTAGATGAGCACATTAGCTGGTTAAACTAGTGGGAGCTTGCGCCATGAGGAAGTGCAAGTTTAATGGTAACTGGATGGCTAATCCTACATTCGCGACGTGGTTAGCACCGGTTCCAGACAATAGCTGGAAATTATAGCTTCAATTTAATTTTAAAAATAGCTTAAATTTGGTCAAAGGGGCCTTAAAAAAGGTCTTAAAAAGTCTTAAATGTGGCTGCCTTAAACCTGCAGATACCCTGTAATTAGCTATCTAAAAAATGAAAACCTAAGCATGTTAGATTATTTTCTGTTTATATGTCACCAGGTTTGTTTTGTTTCTTCAGATGTTGGCAAAGAAGTCAGGAAACATTATTAACATGGCATCTGTTGCTTCAAGCATAAAGGGTAAATAATCTTCCTCTCGGGATTCAGCTGAATACTTGTACAACCCTCAGAATGAAAAAGACTGAAGGACCGTTTGTTATAAGCTTCTTATCTCAGATAATGGCTTTACATTTGAGTGCGTACCTCTGTGGTGACTAACGTGCTTCCTGGACACAGGTGTTGTGAACCGGTGTGTTTATAGTACCTCGAAGGCGGCTGTGATTGGGCTCACCAAATCTATAGCTGCTGATTTCATTGAGAAAGGAATACGCTGCAATTGCGTTTGCCCTGGTAAGTCTTTTCAGTGGAGAATAATAACTTACTTAGAATCAAGTGATATGTTATTTTAGAAAATTAGCAGGTCTTTTGCACATTAAATATTTGGTCTTTTAAAGAAATAATGGAGATCTAACTGTTGTAAGTAGGCCTCAGTTTGGAGATCAGTACATAAGTTGCTCAATCTTTACGTGGATACATCAACCAGACTGAAACTAAAACGCTAGCTAAATTAGCTAGCCTTGTAAGCTATTCCAAATGTAAATACATGACCCATAGACAGAGCTCAGTCATCAGTGTTGGGCAAGTTACTTCAAAACTGTAATGCATTATTTATTACTTGTTACCCTCATTTTAAAGTAATTAATTACATTACAATATTACTGATTTTAAAATGTAAGGCATTACACTACTGTTGCATTACTCGAAGTACCTTTTACCAAAACAACTTCAATATGAATCTGGTAATCTGACGCTCAGTGAGCTCATGACATATATGTGGAAGGTGATGCGGTGTCTGAGCTAGGATTGCTGTTAAAACAGTCAGATATAATAACAGTGCTTTAGAAGGATTGTTTATTAAATGAAAGCAACAACAATCTGTACTCTCAGCACGCTGCCATCTTATATTAACTGAGCAGGGAGAGAGGTGGTGGGGGCTCCAAGCCCATATTTGCCTTGGTCCCCAAATGCCTTGATACGGCCCTGGATGTGGGACTGACTTCTGGGGTGATCTGATTCTATCACATGTATAAATATTAAATGCTTATATATTATTGCTTTTCACTGGTAAAAATGTGTATTGGGGATACATCTACCTACTTTTTTCTTTTCAAGCACTTTGTTTTGTTTTCTTGATTTTATTTGAATCATTTTCTGCATTTTCTCTCTCTAACCTTCCTGCATGCTGCATGTTTTCTCCGTCTTCCAGAAAAACTGTTTCCTAGATTTCCTACTTTCTAACTAATCAGCCAAAGGGATCTAACGAATGCAAAAAAATAATTAAATAAAAAAGCTTTGCGCTGCGCTCCAGCAGCAATGAGTTGAAACCGGCGCACAGATTATGAACTCAGCTGAAAAGTACAGGAAGTACCAGAGAATATGGGCGGATATAAACGATCACAAACGAATTACTTTGTTTTGGTGGAGCGGTTTTGTGAACATGGCAGCGGCCGCGCGCAGGACGCAGCTGGAGTATTTGAGCCATTACCGCTGCGTCCTCTCTGCACAGAGAATGCTCGCAAAGCTGAGTCCATAAATGACGTCATATATGTAGATACTGGATCTTTTTTCAGGCTTCCCGCAATTTGAATTTTTAGGAAACCCACATCTTGATTCTGGGTTTAAAAATGCATTGTAATTACAGCGTTACTGACAATTGTACCGAGTAAATATTACCATTTTCTTTCCCTGTAATGCCTTACATTACCACATTACAGCAAAAAGCAATGCATTACAGTAGTTAATTACTTTTGTACCGCGTTACTCCCAACATTGTCAGTCATAGGGCGGAATCTACGGTTGTCTTTCAAACGGTCTCCGTGCACAATTGGACAGCGCTAAGACCAATCAGAGAAACAAACAATAGCCACGTTTCCATGTGCCAAATTAATCGGATTGAACGCCCCATCAGATCAAAAATTTTGCATGTAAACATGTCAATCGGAATGTTCTGATCCGATTCGGCCCGATCGGAATGAAATTTCAATTCGATTGAGAGAAGTGGTTTTGTCCATCATCACTCTGATATACCGGTACATGCATGTACACAGCCATTCGGATTGTCGGAGTAAAATAATGCCCACTGTGCATGCGCTCCCCATCCTCACTTAGACTACCTGACTTAAATAAATGAGGGCCTAATTCACGAGCGCCGGCTTTTAAATATGGTGGCAAGCCGTCCCCTTTTCAGTAATATCTAATCCAGAACTTGCATTTTGTGGAAGTGAAATAAAAACCTGATTATTGCACAAATCATTCAACAAACGTGTTCACGTCTGTACTGGAAATGCGCAGCCAGATTCATTTGGGGTTTGCAGCACGAATCCCCGTTTCTGTGAACGCAGCAGCTGTTTCTGCAGCAGGTGGTTGTAGACATGCTCGTAAAGAAGACAGGGTAACAGCGGTTAAACAGACCTGGTTTTAAGGAGGCTGATGTTGAGTAGAAAAACATCCTCTGTTAAATATTCTGGCCGACTATCTGTGTAAAAGCACATTAACGCAGATGAGATGCAGTAACACATGATGAACACATGCTTCCAAACTTTCTGAACATCTCCTGTTATTTAGTTTGAACCAAATTTTCTCAACCGTTTCAGCTGATTGCCACATTTTATTAATAATAAGCCACAACAGAGCTCAGTAATAAAACGTGAGTCTGAACCCCCACCCCTGCTCCTCGCAGCCCAGCCGTTACGTCAGACCTGCGGACCAGCTGATCTAGAGGCAGATTCGAGAATAACCCTCCCTTATTTTAATATTGTTAATAATAAAATGCAGCAAAGCATAAACCTGCAGTTATTCACAGAAGAAAATGTTACTTCTATGAACAAAATAAAAATATTAAATAGATTAAATGAATATGGAAAGCAGGAAGAATTGGTTTTTCTGTTTTTACATTTTTCGTTTCCTTTCATGACAAAAAAAAAATCCCGGGAAAGAAAATTGCGCATGCTCACCCTATTTAATCTGATTTAATACTTGGTGCATATAAACTCACGGCATGATCAGATCACTTCAGTTGGTGTCCGTGTAAACAGAGATTCAGGATTTTCAATCAACCATGATTTGAATGGGATAGGAGAAATTTGGCGCATGTAAACGTGGCTAATGCCCTTTTAGCCTCAAGGGCAACATGCCGATTATAACTTGTAAGTCGCTTTGGACAAAAGCGTCTGCTAAATACATAAACTTAATAATAATAATAATAATGCATTGAACTTATATAGCACTTTTCTAGACACCCAAAGACGCTTTCACACACTCACATTCACACACTGCTAGTGATGGTAAGCTACTTGTAGCCACAGCCGCCCTGGGGAGGTCTGACAGAGACGAGGCTGCCATTTGGTGCCGTCGGCCCCTCTGACCACCACTAACACAGGCAAGTTGGGTGAAGTGTCTTGCCCAAGGACACAGCAGCAGGATACCCCTGGCGGGAGCTGGAATCGAACCCATGACCCTCCGATCATGAGGCAACCCGCTCTACCACCTGAGCTACTGCTGCCCCATATGTGACATATTCATCGCTACAGAGCTCAGTCAACGGAGCAGTCTGCCATACACCATCGAAGAAGAAGCTGCAGCAGCAAATACATCCCTTTTTAGAAACATTGAAGTACTTCTACTGTGCTCATGTCTTAAAGAAATGCCAACATCTAAATTGTCATTGATGCAAAGCCGTTTTGAATAAGTGTGGCTCCTGAGCCAGTGTCATCTATGTAGTTTTTCTCTGTCGTGGCTCTGGTGCTCTCCACAACCATAGAGCTCTGTGATTGGCTGGACCTATAACTGTTCGAGCCAATGAAAACCTGCTGATGATATAATTGATAGGGTTGCCACCTGTCCCGTATTAGCTGGGAAACCCTGTATTTGCTTTTTGAGAACTGCTTTGTACAGCACACAGTTAATTGAAGTACTGCCCATGAGGGCAGCAGTAGCTCAACAGGTTGAGCGGGTTGCCCAGTAATCGGAAGGTTGCAGGTTCGATCCTGGCTCCGGACAGAGAATTCTGCTGTTGTGTCCTTGGGCAAGACACTTAACCCACGTTGCCTGCTGGTGGTGTTGGGAGGGACCAGTGGCGCCTGTGCTCGGCAGCCTCGCCTCTTGTCAGTGCGCCCCAGGGCAGCTGTTGCTACATCGTAGCTCATCACCATCAGTGTGTGAATGGATGAACGATACACTGTAGTGTAAAGCACTTTGGAGTCCTTACTCTGAGAGGCACTATACAAGTGCAGGTCATTTATCATTTATGAATGCACTCCAGTAGGTGTCATTTAGATTTCTAGGATGTCCAAGGAAGATTCTGCCTTTCTCGCCTCTGATTGGCTAGAAAGGCTCTACTACGATTGGTTATTTCATTTAGCAGTAAGCCGGTTGACTCGCTAAGTGCGGACTGTCCTTCTGCCACCAGCAGACAGCTGTTTTGGGGAATTTTGTTAAGAAAATGTGAACTTAGCACTATAATAATCATTCTGTCCTGTTTTTCAGAACATTTTATTTTGTTTATTTGTTTTGTGTTTCATAAAAAAACTGAATAACGTAAAATGTGAATTTCTAATCTTGTTGCATTTATCAAACAGTTGGACTGACTATATATCTCTTGGGTCACAAGCATTAGAGTACATAGGATAAACACGTGTGCCTTACCTGGGTATGAAATTGAATAAAACTGCCCTATTCTGCCCAGCTGTGTGTATCAGGTCTGTTTCTTTACTAGAATAATGAAAACTGGTGAAAAATAGGTCTAAATCATAATCAGCTTTAATTAAATTTTTGATTAAAGGGACTTTACGGACTTTTGAATTTTTATGCTCGCGATTGCCCCCTCAGGCCAAAAGCGTAACAGCAGCTTCAATAGTAGGCTCGTGCACGAGGCGCGCATGCTGTACGTGCACACTCCTTAACGAAAATAACAGCTGAGACAGTCCCGTGTGTGTTGCCCAGAGGACAGAAGAACACACCAAATTAATTAAAATAATGTGCTCCTGTCTCTGAAGCTGCACTTTCTCGTCGGCCGGCTGAACGTGCAGTGTGTGTGTGTGTGTGTGTGTGTGTGTGTGTGTGTGTGTGTGTGTGTGTTTGTGGCCCGGAGGACAGAGGACAGGAGAACACGCAGCTAATTAATTAAATAATTTGGTTCTGTACCTTTCTCTTCAGCACAGCCGACAAAGGTATAAGATGGGTCAGTCCTCCTGCATGCTCAGATCATTCCCTTCCCTTGCTTGAAAAATTGTTCCAAAATGAAAGTTGAACCCACATCTTTTTTATCCGTGAATTCAATGCCGTTCGGTGAGTCTCAAACAAAAATTTGGGCATCTTATTACTGTAAAAAAATTATCATTAATGTAAAAAAAGAAACTCCAAATAACAAATTATGTTCACACCCAGAATCGAACCCAGGTCTTCTGCATGAGAGTCAGACATCTTACTAGGTGAGCTAAAGCGCCAATGATGTTCTTTGTATCTGTAACATTTATATCCTTAATGACAGCTGAAACGTCAAACCAAAGAACGGTTCGGAGCGAAAACGGCTATTTTATTGCTAATTTGCAGGAAATATCTAGAAGAAAGTAGCTAAGGGTCCTCAGAACTGTAGCTAGCTTTGTCACTAGGTGTTAGGAACAGCGACAAAGTCGCTGAGTTAGCACTGCCTCTCTCTCTCTGCTGCTAAAGCTACTGATAGCAAATGCTACGGGCGATGCCTGAGCGTGAACGCGCATGAAGCAGCCTGCTCGACCCGAGCATCTCTCTTTTTCTGTGATTTTACAGAAAAACAGGCAATCACAGTAAAAATGCCAGGGCTCATTCTACAGGACCAGGGCATTGCAGGAAAATGTATGAAGAAGACATTTATTATTTCTATACATGTTTTGGCTGTCTAACTTCCATAATGTCCCTTTAATGATACACATTTAATCTGATGATGAGAAATGTGCTCTAACTTGTAAACAACCTTAACCTATTAAAGTAGAATAGTTCACATTTGACATTTTTCAGGTTCTTTTATGAAAGAAACGGAAACTGGTTTGTTGCTAAACAGGAAGGGATGTCTATTATAGTGATGAGTTCACATTTTCTTCACAAAAAAAAAAAAAACTCCAAGATCTGGCTGTAAACATAAAAACCTGCAGTAAGGGAAAACAGTTTCCTCTCACATGAAATAAATGATAAATGACCCGCACTTGTATAATGCCTCTCAGAGTAAGGACTCCAAAGTGCTTTTCACTACAATGTATCATTCATCCATTCGCACACTGGTGGTGATGAGCTACAATGTAGCCACAGCTGCCCTGGGGCGCACTGACAGAGGCGAGGCTGCCAAGAACAGGCGCCACCGGTCCCTCCGACCACCACCAGCAGGCAAGGTGGGTAAAGTATCTTGCCCAAGGACACAACAGCAGAATTCTCTGTCCGGAGCCAGGATTAAACCTGCAACCTTCCGATTACTGGACAACCTGCTCAACCTGTTGAGCTACTGCTGCCCTAGCCGACCATAGCCAATCATAGGAGAGACCTTCCAGCCAATCACAGGCGAGAAAGGTAGGACCTTCGTTGGACATCCTAGAATACCAAATGACGCCCCAGGACATGTAACAATCACATGGGACGGGCCATGTGACTGTTTTCGCCCAATCAGGTGACACTCTTCAAAGCGTAGCAGGATGTCATCGATACAGCTGGTGTTTAGCTTCAATACCCCGACTACCCTATAACCACGTGGACTTTTGAGTGTGATTCAGTATTTATTTATTTTTTTTTTTGATGATGATGATGTCCGAGCTTGTCATGGACTTTTATAGATCTATGAACTCTGATAGCCCCATGTAACTTGTTTGGACTGCTGCAAGTGTCATTTCTTTACTCTTGTTTTGTACATGGTACTGTAACAGACGTCACAAAGCAGCAACGTCGATACTGGACGTGTACAGACCTTGTACAGATCATGGCCCAGAGAAGCCGTGGTGGGCGTCCCTTATTTTCATGTCTGAAAGGTGGCAACCCTATGCCTAGACCAGCTGAAATCTTAAGCTACTTCAGTGGTTGGTCTAGATTTTCTAGGCTATAAATTAGCTACATCTGAAAAACATCTTTAGTTTTCAGATATGAATTTATTAGGCCTCTAATAATTGAATATTGGCACCATTGTACATTTTTATGTACTTTTTCAAGCCAGATGCAAATGCATATCTTATCTTTCAAAAGATATAAACAAATCATTGGAGCAAAGCTATGTGAAAGTGAATTTAACTGTTAATGACATTTATTGGCTGGGTTTGCTTGTGTTACCAAACTGAAAGGGTTACTTATGACTAGCTCTTGCTAATTTCTGCTGGAAATAACTATCAAATTCTGTGGAATGTTAACTGTACTGCAGTGTAAATAGTTATAAAGTGTGTGTTCAAGAGCTTTTATAAAGGTTTTGAGACTGGAGTTGACAGCCGTGATTCCCTAACTCATGGTCCCACCAAGACTAGCCATTAGCTTGTCAATCCTAGCACAATTAAACATCTACAAACTGAGGTCAATCAAAGCGTTGTCTATAGCAGGTAAGATATCAGTTGTTCAAATTGTGCAACAGAACTCCAAAAGATATGAACTCCCACTTTAAGTGCACTTTCTGTGGGTGTCGAACAACCTTATGTCTATCTAGTGTTTGGTTACACTTGATCTTATCTTCATGATCAAAGTTCAAAGTAAATGTTTTACCCAGTCTTTTGATTAAGGTGAAATATTTTATTTGTCCTCAGGAACAGTTGATACTCCATCACTGAGGGGTAGAATCCAGGCACAGCCTGACCCAGAACAGGTACTGTAGATCCAGCACTTGTTAATATTTGATTAGTCCTAATCTGATAGCAATATGTTGTTTATTATTTGATATTTTACTTCACAAAAGCAAATGTTGTTAACTGGGTGTTTAAATGGAGTGAATTTCACAACTATGATTTATTTTCAGGCTTTCAAGGATTTTATGGCAAGACAAAAAACTGGCAGAATGTGCACAGCTGAAGAGGTTGCACACCTGTGTGTGTACCTGGCCTCAGATGAGGTGAATACCTTTAGATGTGTTAATGATGTGGGGCAATGTATACAGAAGTGATTTTTTCCAATCTTCTAAAGCAGATAAAGTTTTGATTATGTCTTTGTCCTGTCCTCTACAATCAGCCTATGTGACTGGAACAGAGCACATCATTGATGGAGGATGGAGCCTGTGAAGAAACTCCCATTCTTATTAAAACAAACAACGACAAAAAAATCATAAAAATCTGTAATTTATCATTCTGTAAGGTCATTCAAATTTCATTCATAATTGTTCAATATTTAGTAGTAAAGTTTCATATTTTTTTCTAATTAAATGTGCTGTATTTGGTCCTCCACACAAAAATAACTTTTAATAGATCTGGAGTTGTACATTTAGTAGAAAATAAAATATGAAGAATTTTTTTAATGAACAAATGTAATAATAAATTTACATAAAGCAGTGTGTCCATTCATTTCACTGTGGAGTGATGAAGAAAAGTAACAAAACACCCAGTCATTAATTAGGAACTGCATGTCAAGGTGTGTAGATGCTTAAATATTGTATTTATGTGTAAAGTAGACACTGGAATGTAGAAGATTGTTTTTTATTATTCTTTTTAGATACAATGTAACATTATATGTTAGATGAATTGGCTATTGATCAGAATTCAAGTTTGTGCATAAAAGATTCTTGAGTTGGAAAAGGGTAGAATGTCTTTTTCGGGTCAGGGATGAAGTCCTGCCCCATGTGGAGGAGTTTAAGTATCTCGGGGTCCTCGAATGAAGGAAAGCTGGACCGCGGGATCGACAGGTGGATTGGTGCTGCGTCTACAGTGATGCGGGCGTTGTGCCGGTCTGTTGTGGTGAAGAGAGCTGAGCCGGAAGGCGAAGCTCTCAATTTACTGGTCGATCTACGTTCCTACCCTCACCTATGGTCTCTTTCTTTAGGTAGGTGAAAGGATGAGATCGTGGATACAAGCAGCTGAATTTAGTTTTCTTTGTGGGCTGGCTGGGCTCTCCCTTAGATAGGGTGAGAAGGTTGGTCATCTGGGAGGGGCTCGGAGTAGATCCGCTGCTCCTCCACATCGAGAGGAGCCAGTTGAGGTGGCTCGGGCATCTGGTAACCTGGTATCCTGGACACCTTCCTGGTGTGATTTTACGGCACGTCCAACCAGGAGGAGACCCAGGACATGCTTGAAGGACTTTTTCCTGTCTGGTCAGGGACCACCTTGAAATTCCCCCGGAGGAGCTGACTCAAGTGGCTGGGGAGAGAGAAGTCTGGACCTCCCTGCTTAGGCTGCTGTCCCAGCTACCTGACTCCGGATAAGCGGAAGAGATTGAATGGATGGCAAAAAAACAACAACAATATAACAGAATGTTAGCAGGTTAATGACACAAGTTAGTTTACAGAGCATAAATAGTAATCAGGGTGAATAAAACAAATGTTTGAGCATTTTTTTCCAACAGGCTGGAATAAAATACAGTAAATACCATTATTAGTGTCTGTTCTTCACACTGACATGCACCTCTCAGGAGAGGATCGCCTCCTGTCCTGTCACTAATCCGCCTCACTCCTATCCAGCTGGTGTTTTTACCAGATTTACGCACACACACACACACACACACACACACACACACACACACACACCGTCTCTAGGCTGGAATCGATGCTCGAGATGACAGCATGAGGTGAGCAGCTTTTATTCAGTAAATTAAATTTAATATAACGTATCTTAAAAGAGTCATAGCGGGTGGAGTTGGGAAGTCTCCGTACGCAGCTACGGTGTTTTTAAAACTTAGAGGAAGAGGAAAGGTCGCCCTGCAGCGTGGACCCTGTTAAATGAACCCGACTCTGTCCATGTTAGTCACGTGACATGACCGTTTTCCTCCAAGACAGTTAGCTTATTAAAATATTCGTGCCAGACGCATTGCTTTGTTTGTGGCTAAATCAGTGTCACCGAGGAGGAGAATGTGGACTTAAAGGGGAAGGCGGGAAGCTCTGGGTTAGCTTAAACCACGTTAAGACGTGTCCGCAGTTTTCACTAAACGCTGCTTCTACGGTCCCACAGAACAACCTGTCACTAACTAGGTAGCTAGTTAACTGGACGACTAACCTACTTGAGCTAACGCTAGCTAGGTGTGCCATATGGTGGAGCTATAAGCGTTGATTAGAGCGATTTGTTCACAATTGGATTAGCCAGCGTCTCCTAGTCCATAGGTCCCAGCGTGCTCTCCATAATTAATGCTTCTCTGGTTTCTGCTCAGGTCCCTGCTTACTTTAAGAACGCTGTAATCCACCCGCGTCTTAAAAAACCGAGTCTCGACCCCTCTCTCCATTGCAGCTTCAGACCATCTCTAAACTTCCGTTCATCTCCAAGATCTTGGAAAAGGTTGTGGCTAAACAACTTACAGCTGCTCTTGATGAACATAACATCTACGATTGCTTACAGTCAGGTTTTCATAGAGCTCATTCTACTGAAACAGCTCTTGGTGTCTCTAATGACCTTCTGACTCACAGTGATGCAGGGGACTGTTCTGTTCTGGTCCTGCTGGACCTGACTGCAGCCTTTGACACTGTTGACCATCACCTGCTACTGGAGAGGCTGAGAGACTGGGTCGGCCTATAAGGAACTGCTCTGGAGTGGTTCTCCTCTTATCTCTCTGAGCGCTCCTTTTCTGTGGCCGTCTCCAAGTTTAGGTCCTCCACCACCTCTCTTACCCATGGTGTCCCACAAGGTTCTGTGCTGGGGCATCTGCTCTTCCTCCTCTATCTGCTTCCTCTTCAGCACATCCTGAGCTCCTTCAAAGGAATCTCCTACCATCTTTATGCAGATGACATCCAACTGTACATCTCCTTTAAGCCCCATGAGATGTCTAAGCTGCAGCTGTTACACACCTGCTTAGACTCTATCAAAACCTGGATGGCTGGGAGCTTTCCACAGCTGAATGAAGATAAGACTGAGATCCTCATCTGTGCCCCAGACAAGCTGGTTCCCATGGTCAGAGACTCTCTTGGTCAGCTTGCTTTTCACACCAAACCTTCTGTCAGGAATCTTGGTGTGACCTTTGACACAGCGCTCACCCTGGATTCTCATGTCAGTTCTCTTGTTGGCTCTTCCTTCTTCCATCTCAGGAACGTTGCTAAGCTGAGTCCCATTCTGTCCCGCTCTGAACTTGAGACAGTTCTCCACACCTTCATCTCCTCACGCTTAGACTACTGTAACTCTCTTTTCACGTGTCTGAGCAGAACCTCCCTGAACCGTCTACAGGTGGTTCAGAACGCCTGTGCTCGGCTTCTGACCAAGTCCTCCAAACACACCCACATCACCCCGCTTCTCCTCCAGCTTCACTGGCTGCCAGTCAACTTCAGGGTTCATTTCAAGGTCCTGGTTCTGGTCTATAGGGCCTTACATGGACAAGCACCATCTTACATTGGTGATCTTTTTAGTCCCTACACCCCCAGCAGGTCCCTGAGGTCCAGTGATCAAAGCCTACTGGTTGTGCAGCACCAGGCTAAAGACCAAAGGTGACAGATCATCTGCTGCTGTGGCCCCCAGACTCTGGACCTCTCTCCCCCTGAGCCTGAGATCAGTGGACTCAGTGGTCTCCTTTAAAAAGCAGCTGAAGACTCACTTGTTCAAGCTGGCTTTTGTATGACCTTCTTCACCTCTCTCTTAATTCTGCTCTCCCCACCTATTCCACCTTCCTCAGGATCCACTGATTTCCCTCTTTCCTGTTCACTCTCTCTCTTTCTTTACATTTTTAAATCACAGTTGTCTATTTTTGCTCATTTAAAATATATTTTTAACCGTTTTCCAAATTCTTTTTTCCATTTTTCCATTTTTCGTTTTTGTGAAGCGCCTCGTTATTTTTATCTTGAGAGATGCTATAGAAAAGATCTTTTCTTCTTCTTCTTCTGTTGCTCTAGCTTAGCGGCTATCAAAACATTGTGGTAATGTTTGTTCCGCTTGTACTTATTTGTAAACTATTGGCAGTTAAAGGTTCGCAACGGCAATTATTTATAACATTCAGTAATAACCGTGTTAGTTAGTTTTCTAGGGGAAGCTGGATAATTTGGAGGACTGGGTAAATGTAGTTTTATAATTGGGAGCTAGTTTGATTTGAATGGCAGGTACCTCATCTGTTACCCAAAGCCTGTGGAGTTTGTTGTAGTATGTCAGTGTCACTATTTATGAAGTAATTTAAAAACAACAAAGTGCTGCACAGCAGAAAGTAATAATACAATTACCAAGACACAGCAGTTAGGGACATCAAAGATGGATCATAAAAGGAATCCGAAAGATAAAATCATAAAGTAAACCCAGTCAAACGAATAGAAAGTGGCATGGCTCTACTTGTTCAAAGCTAGAGTAAAATTGTTTTTTAGGGAACTGTAAAATCCCGCCAGCTGTGAGCAGGTTTAGTTTGTTCTGAAGGCCTGCAGCTTCATCTGCTAAAACACCATCACCACTGTTTTTCAGTCTAGATCTTGGAAAAGCATGAAACGCACCGAGGAGAGCTGGATGTGTGGACGTGAAGTAAACAATCAATTGTCAGACTCGATGTTCAGCTTGATGCCCGGCATTAGAAAAGAGAGAAGATCAGAAATACTGTAGGTTTCACGATGGAGGACACCCAGCAGAAACCTGCAGAGCCAGATCCAAGCCCAGGACCGAGTCCAGCCCCTAGTCCAGCACCCAGTCCAGCGCCAAGCCCTCTACTCGACAGAATCACCCTGCCTGCTGGCAACCATGTCGAGGTAACGGCTTAAGAGAAAGTCTGAAGCTCAAGTGACTGGTTTCCGATCTGGATATGTGAACATTATCATCACTGATATGTTTGGTGTTATAGATGAAGGACACACGTCACTGACATTATGCCCACATCCCAATTCTTCCTTTAAAGCACCTAAATGTGAACCAGATCCAGGTAGTGGTACGGCGCTGCTCCACTCCAAATGTGACGGAGGAGACCACCTATTTCATTCCTCGTAACCCCGTGGTGGACGCTGGCACTAACACAGACCCTCCGGTGGTCTGCTGCCCGCTGCTTCGAAGATTTTGCCCGTGTCCACCAAGAGGCCTTCTCGCCTCCTTCATTACCAAAGGTAAGGGATTAATCCACCTTTGGGCTTTCTAGTGTTCTCTCTTGGATGTTTGTTTTAAAAGTTTCACAAGGTTAAAATCACTACACGTTTCATTCTGTGCGTTTCTGTTTGTAACATTAGAAGATCACATGTCTCCTCCTTTCTCCTCAGTTCTTCTGGCAGCTGTGCTCTTTGGGGTTATTTGGTCCGTCACAGAAGAAGAATGTCTCCCAGGAGGGAACCTGTTTGGAATCACGGTTCTCTTCCTCTGTGCTCTGATTGGTGGCAAACTGGTTGCTTTCATCCGGCTGCCGAAGCTTCCACCATTCCCACCACTCCTTGGTACATATATCGGCTTTCATCTCTTTAGTAAATACACAGAACGATTAGTCTGTGGTTACTACTCAGCCGTTAAACTTAATGGTCTTTAATTTGCGATGTAAATGGTTAAGAACAAAAGTTAGGAGCAACAGATGAGCATTCGTCTTGTTCTGTTTATACCACATCCTCGTAGTATAAACATGGCTTCAGTGTATAAAAGGATCGTTTTTCCTCTCTCCCACCCTCTGTTGGCTTGCAGGTATGCTGCTGATGGGATTCCTGCTGAGGAATATTCCAGTTGTGACTGATGGGGTGTACATTAACTTCAGATGGTCCGCATCACTGAGGAACATCGCTCTGGCGGTAATCCTGGCCAGAGCGGGTCTGGGGTTAGATCCCAAGGTATGGCTACACAAAAAGTCCCTTGTTGTTAGATTCTCAAGCAAACTGCAGATTTTTATGATTCTTTTAAAATTGCTAAAGAAAAGTGTTGCTTTAGGAGCAGATATTAAATTTCCAAATTTTCCAAAGGAAAATAAAGATTCCAGTAAGAGTTTACTGAAAGTAAGGAGGAATTTTTGGCTATAATTCAGTTTTCCATTAGAAAAGTCATCAAGTTATTTTGATTCTCAGTTATTCATCTCATTCACTGGTGCCACTGAACTTCTGTGCTTATAAATTTCACAGCTTTTGAAAGACTTGTTGTTGAAAGTAACACATCATTAAATTCTGTTTTTCCTTTCAGGCTTTGAGGAAACTCAAATCCGTGTGTGTCCGTGTGGCGGCCGGACCCTGCTTGATGGAAGCCTGCACTGCAGCTGTGATCTCTCACTTCCTCATGGGCTTGCCCTGGGTGTGGAGCTTCATACTTGGGTAAATTTAACGCTTCAGAATTCTCTTTTCCGATTAAAGCTGTTAATGAGTGACCCTCCATCCTCTGATGGTGTCAGCTTTGTGCTGGGTGCTGTGAGTCCAGCGGTGGTGGTTCCCTCCATGCTACAGCTGCAGAAGGATGGATACGGTGTAGAGAAGGGCATTCCCACCCTGCTGATGGCTGCTGGGAGCTTTGATGATATTCTTGCCATCACAGGGTTCACCACATGCTTGGGCATGGCCTTTGCTACAGGTAGCATGTGTGTATGTGTGTGTGCGTGTGTGTGTGTTGGGGGGGTTAATAGGGTCGACCCAGGAGAAGCTGGAAGGATCGTCTCCACACTGGCCAGGAAATGTCTTGGGGTCCCACTATTGGAACTGGTGGAGGTTGCCTTGGAGAGAATGGTTTGGGGCTTTCTGCTAGAGCTGCTACCTCTACGACCCCACCCCCCAAAAAAAACATAAGAGAGGGGTCATACCTGAAATAGAGCTGGGCGATGTGGCCTAAAATCAATATCATGGTATATTGAGGAGTTCACTTCGAAAACGATAAATGGACGATGCACAAAGCAAAAGTCATCCAGTAGATGGGGCTGTCACATGCATAGGGATCCTCATGGACGTAATTTTCACTTTAGAAGTGGGGGGGGGAGATCTTTACAGTATGTTCTAATGGGAAACAGGCTTCAACACAAATGGTTGCTTTCTGCTTGGTCCTAGAGCTCAACCAGTGTCTGTTTAATATAGCGTAATATTGTTTTTGGATGGTAAAAAGTGCAGGGGTCAAAACTTGACTTTGGGAAAAGTGGGGGGGGGGGGGCATGTCCCCCCTGTCCCCCCAAAAATTACGTCCATGGGGATCCCTTTCCGGTCGGCTCATGGGTACCTGGAAGAACGAAAACATGAATGCAAGTCAGCGGGGCTAAAAGAGATATTTTCTAATCCGCTTTGCCTTACACCCTGGATCGCACATATGTTGCACAGCAATTTAAATGAAAGGTAATGATGGGTGTTTTGACAACGCCAGTCACGTACTTTGAGATTTATCAACTTGTAAAAGTTCATAATTAGCGCATGACTACAAACCAGACATTAGCACGTCGCATATATGACATCACCACAGGATCTCCTTCCCCCTAGCGTAGCCGCTACTTACCACATGGCCAGGTGTATGGTGGTTCTTTCCTCCCGAGGGAAGGATTTAAAGTTCGCTGAACTTACAGCCGTTTTCCCTGTTTTTCTCCATGTCTGGTTCGATGACGTCACTTTTGTGAAGCCCATTTGTAGTCCTGGACTTATTTTCACACAAAACCTAAAGTAGCGTTTCCCCCTGTTCGAAAATAAGCGCGTTCTTTGTGTCAAAATGCTTCATTAAAATTCGCAGACATCATATGTGAAATCCATGGCACATAACAAGCAGAATTGGAAAATAACGTTTTGACTTGCATTCACTTTTTCATTCTTCCAGGGACCCGTGGTCCGGAAATAGATGGGCGCGACTTTGGCTCCCTATTACGTAGAGTCGAGATGTCATGTGACTCAAGGTGTTACATCTTGAGTCACATGAACGTTGCCAACCTACACACATCTTTTCTTTTTATTACTTGTCAGGTTTAAGCACCTAAGACACCACATAACACACAGGAAAGAGACACAAAAGTCAGAATTCTGTTTAAGCTCGAGGAGAATGGAATAAAGTCACACCAACCCAGTCTCCACTGAGCTGACGCTTCCTCAAACCATTCTGACCTCTGAAATCCGAGCACCTATATTTATTACAAATCGGGAGCTCCCTAGTTACATGCCTGAGAGCCGATTCTGAAGGGAGGGGGAAAACACAGCTCTCAGTCCTAAATTGTTGCAAGTTTAAAACAAAGAGCATTCATTATTACACCAAGAACTTTCAGTGTCTTATCACACGATGAGTCAGCAGTTGATAGAACAGCGGATCTTCTCAGGTCGTCCTTGGGTCACATTAAGTCAGATTTTAACACCCTTAAAAACTCATGAGGGAATTTTACAATACAGCAACTGTTTAAGTATATAAATGATAAAATCATTGAGCATAAAACATGGTAAAGGAAACAATCTTTAATTGTAATAAAAGCATAAAACATGATCATTGAAAACATGAATAATAGTTCTGGCATTACTGAATTTATCGACAATGGAAAAATGAAATCGGTGTGAGTCAGAAATCTCCAACGATACGTTTTCAAGTTATTGCCCAGCCCTAACCTGAAGCCTCTACCTCTGTTGGAAGGTGTTCTCTATTTGCACATGCAAAGCTTCTTAAACTTCATCTCAAACCACATGACTTCTTAGTCCAAAATGTGACCTTGTAGTCCTCAAATGTAAGTCCCCTTGTCTTTAGGTGTTTACTGTGTTTAGTCATTCTCTTTTGCATCTGTTGTTTAGTCTCAAGATGCAGTTTGTGTATTGTCAGTAGCCCAGCAGAGGGTGTATGTACACAAGTATACGTGTGCATTGTGTCTATCTTCTGTCAGCACTATAATAATGAGTCTAACCCTTTTATTGAAAGTCATTATTATCTTTTAACGCGAGTGAAATTATCCAATGACATCCTGAATTTGTTGTATTTTACATCCTAATTTACTGGCCCAACTTTTCCTTCCAGGCTCCACCTGGTATAACCTGCTGCGAGGTGTTCTGGAGGTGGCAGGAGGGACAGCTGCTGGGATCCTCCTTGGCTTCCTCATCCAGTACTTTCCTAGTGTCGACCAGGTTTGTAATCACTTGCAGCACTCCTTCTAGTTAGACTTTATTTATGGTATGTTCATTTTTACGCTACTTATCATCACAGCTTTTATGTGAAACAGAATAGCATCGTAAACGAGTTGAACAATGATTTATCCTGATGGAAACACCTCATGTTCGTCTTGAATGAAGGGTCCAACAGTACAGAGGTTTTGGCATGTATGTTTTGTGCATTGTCATTTGCAGTAACTTATCTTCACACGTCGGTGTGGTGAAAAGCTCACGCTGCATAAATAGGTTCAGTGGACAGAGTGCAGCTAAGCAGAACCGGTTTGAAATCATCTAGTATAAAAGGAATAAGCTGAGCATCTTACTAGAGCCGATGTGGGACTATTTTTGTTTATTCTGCTCCCACAGTCTGTTCCTGTCAGTCCTGCATGGTCCCAAAATATTTGCATCCAACCTTGCCTCCACCCACAGTCCCATCAAAGCTTAAATCAGGATTATTTTTTTCTCCGATGGCACCAGAGGTTGAGAAATGTATCGCACCTTAATGGCCGAGCTCACAGAAAAACTGTTTTTACTTGTTCTTGAAATATGATGGGCCACTCTGAGTCTATTACGCTGCCTAAACTTCTGCACCTACTTCCTGCGTTAGCCACCAATATAAAAGTAGATGAGCAAACACTCATATTCAGGGTATCCGCGGGTCCTTAAAAAGTCTTAAAAAGTCTTAAATTTGCTTTTCCAAATATAAGGCCTTAAAAATCCTTAAAAATGACAAATAATCCTTAAATGCAGTTTCCAAAGGTCTTAAATGGCCAAAGACCCAATAAACAAGATATTTTTATTTCTATAAAATTTTCGTGAATTTGTAGTTGGTGTTCAGCGTTTTTGTGTACGATGTTGGCGTAAGCGGAACCGTACACATTCAGTTGGTTGTGAAAGGGGGCTATTTTTAGATGAGCACATTAGCTGGTTAAGCTAGTGGGAGCTTGCACCATGGGGAAGTGCAAGTTTAATGGTGACTGGATGGCTAATCCCACGTTTGCGACGTGGCTAGCACCGGTTCCAGGCAATAGCTGGAAATTATAGCTTAAATGAAATAAAAAAAAATAGCTTAAATTTGGTCAAAGTGGCCTTAAAAAAGGTCTTAAAAAGTCTTAAATTTGGCTGCCTTAAACCTGCAGATACCCTGATATTAGAAAATCCAGTCAGATGCACGCTACGTTGAAAAACGTGGAGTCGTCTATCAGAAACCATCCATCCATTTTCAGCAAACACACACACACACACACACACACACACACACACACCTAAGGACAATTTGGACAGACCAATCTACCTAACAGTCATGTTTTTGGACTGTGGGAGGAAGCCGGAGTACCCGGAGAGAACCCACGCATGCACAGGGAGAACATGCAAACTCCACGCAGAAAGATCCCAGGACGGGAAGTGAACCCAGGACCTTCTTGCTGCAAGGCAGCAGCTCTAACCACTGCGCCACTGCGCAGCTACCAGAAACTAACCGTTAGCATTAGCAACTCCACAACACAGGAGGAAATAAAACAAAAGGAGTCAGTGGTAGAGTCAAATTGCTGTTAGCCAATCAGAGGCGAGATGTCCAAGTATCAGGAAATAAGACTCCAAAACCTGTTGTCTTCTGTTCCCCTCTGTTCTGTCTCACTTCTAGTTCCTGAAACAGGAGCGCCAGAGCTTTTTCCCCACAGAGATCGACCCACAAGACATGAATTTATACCAGAGATCACTTCTAATGTATTTAAAAACAAGTGATGTTGGTATTTAAATCCTTGTTTATGGCAGGATAGAACCCTCGTTTGTGAACACACACCTCTACCCGGCCAACAGAGCTAAAACACATTGATGTACAATTATTCCGACCTTATGCTGTTTATTTATATGTAAATGACTCCCAGTCTTTTCTTAGCAACCTACTTCTGCCTACAGCATTCAGTTTTATTACAATTTAATCGTTTTGAAATGTTTCTCTTGTCTTTCTGGTAGAAACACGTCGTGATGAAGCGTTCCTTCTTGGTGTTGGGTCTGTCCATCTTTGCCGTGTTTGGCAGTGGTGTTGCAGGCTTCCCAGGCTCTGGGGGGCTTTGCACCTTGGTGTTGGCGTTCCTGGCTGGCATGGGCTGGGGACCAGAAAAGGTAATACTGTCAATACACATTATAGGGTTGGGCATCGAGCATCGGTTAGAACCGGTTCCAACTGTTAGTTTTTCCCGGAATCGTTCAAAGTTTTTATTTCGATTCCTAGTTTCGATTCCTAGAATGCCGACCGGAAGAGGAATCCGCGGCCGATCTCCGTGAAAAATAAACGTGATCTGCAAATTGTGATCAACACTTTTCAGAGCTGATCACACCAGCTGTCTATGTGCCGCACCGTCCATCCTCCCCCCCCCCCCCCACCCCCCCACCCGGCGCGTAGTGGCCAAATATAAACAAACGCGTCTGCCGAGCTTTTCCTCCTTGATGTAAACTTGGACTCCTGCTGCGTAGAGGAAACTTGTTAAAATACGTCAACACGGTGGATTTAGTAGGAGCTTTAAAGAACAAACTCTGGACGGTGTGAGGTGAGTTTGTCTCACTGCAGAAATAAAAACACACACGGAGCATCAGCAGTCAGACGCAGCCGCTCACCAACACTCGCGTGTGTGTGTGTGTGTGTGCGCGTGTGTGTGTGTGTGTGCGCGTGTGAGCGTGAGCGTCAGAAGGCTGAACAATAACCTGTAGAATAATTAAAGTCATCATGCTAGAGAAGCTTCTCTGTGGTGGACCACACCAGCTTCTGCCACAATAAATAATAATAATAATAATAATAATAATAATAAATCACACACAAAGTTGTGAACATTTTAATTTCCTTTCTGAACTGTTTCTGTTTAGAGTTTTAATGTTTCAAATCTGTTAGGTTGTTACTGACAGCAGCTACGTTTAAGTTTCACTTCCTGTTCTGACTGATCGCTGCTGCAGCATGGAGGTGTAGTTCTCAGCCATCCTGGACGTGATCATCCTGAGAGTTTTAGCTGAAAACAGCTGGACGTTTCTGGACATGTTGGAGACATTTAGCCTCTCATCCCAGAGGCTGCTTCCAGACTGGTTGTGGTCAGAAACAAACACACTGGTTGTGCTGCAAGTCTTTTTCTTTTTTCTCCAAAACACGTTTTAGTCTAAATGAAGGTGATGTTGTTGTTCATAGAGTTAAAATTCATGTTGAAGTTAAGATTATATCATCAAGTAGGACCTGTGGTTAGCTGGCTCATTTAAAACATGTCATGTCTTGAAAGAATCGGAATCGGGAATCGATAGGAACTGGAATCGAAACTAGGAATTGGAATTGGAATCGGAATCGTTCAAAATCAAATGATGCCCAACCCACAAAGTATGCCGTTCCACTTTCCATTTGCTATTTTGCCTCATTAGTATATCAAATCAGTTAATCAGTTAAAAGACACATTAATTAAAGCTACCTTTACGAAATGTTATAATTTTATGACTTTATTTTTTCTGATGTTAATCTATTTCTGTTTTTATGACTTGATGTTTTATTTAGTTTTGATCTTTGTGAAGCTCTTTGTGATTCTATATCTGTGATCAGTGCTAAATAAACAAAATGTACTTACTTACTGTACAGCAAAGTGCTTGTTGCCACTCGGTAGTCTACAGCGCTGTACGAGAAGTGCCTTATCATTGTGGCAGGACCTGAAGCAGCCAGACTGAGTTTTATTTTGTGTGTGTGTGAAGGCGCGTGTGGAGGAAGTGGTGAGCTGGGTGTGGGACGTGTTTCAGCCTCTCCTGTTTGGACTGATAGGGGCTGAGATTCGAGTGTCCAAGCTGGAGGGATGTACAGTTGGTAATACAACCACACAAAGCCTTCACCGTAACAGTGCCATCATTGTGCATCATTCAAATGTGACAGGGTGAATGTATGTACATATATTTGCATAAACAAAAGAGACGTGACATGTTCTGGTCTGTCCTGTAAATACTGAACGTACCATCTCTGTTGGCTCTTCTTCAGTTTGCTTTTATATTTGCGCAACAAGCTTGTAAAAAAATAAAAAATCGGATTCACGCTAGAGATAAAAGATGGTATTTCAGATTCTTCACTGGGTGCACGTATATTTTCCCTGCATGCTGATAAAGCTAGTGTCAGTGTAACCCAGTCCGACTCTTGTCCTCGTGTGCTTCCAGGTCTGGGCATAGCCTCTCTCCTCATTGCGCTACTGGTCAGGATCCTCTTCACGCTTGTGTGCGTGCTGCGCGCTGGCTTCAACGTGAGGGAAAAAGTCTTCATAGCTCTTGCATGGATGCCCAAAGCAACAGTGCAGGTGTGTCAGTGCTGGGATGTGTTTTAGGAAACTTGCACTCCTGGAATTGTTTAAAGAGCAAGTCACCCCCTACCAGAGTCTAACTCCACTCCCACTTCATGTCTGAAAAATGCAACAAATGATGTTGCCTAGCAGACCGAGAGGGCGGAGCCGCTAACAAATACACACACACACAGGTTCACGACAGCATTGTGACATCATAATGTACTTCTTAGCCAATAGCGGTGGCAGTTTTAAATTCAAATACAGTGCAGAGTTTTGACCTGACAACGGCACAACACTGACAGTTTTAAGCAGAATATTTAAATTTTAACTAAGATGCACTAAAGTGTCAAATTATTGACGACACGTGTCTGCAGCACGATTAGACACTCGTTTATTTAGTTTATCAGCAAAAAAAAGTTGATTTGGGGGTGACTTGCTCTTTAAAGAAGTTTTGGGCTGCCGGTGTCAAACCCGCGGTAGACATGTGTTATGGTGATTTGTATCATACACACACACATTCACACGCTGGTGGTCATGAGCTACAGTGTAGCCACAGCTGCCCTGAGGGATACTGACAGGTGAGGTTGCCGACCACCACCAGCAATCAAGGTGGTTTAAGTGTCTTGCCCAAGGACACAACAGCAGAATTCTCTTCCGGGAGCCGAGATCGACCCACAACCCTCTGATTACCGCACACTTCGCTGTACTTCCTAAGCTACCGTGGCCTCAAATCTCTGCATTTGCTGTTGTCCAACAATGACGGCTTTTACCGGGAATCGAACTCGGCCTCCCACATGGCAGGTGAGAATCCTACCACTGGACCACCAATTCACATCCTTCACGCTAATCTCAAAGTGCAGACACTTTCATTTGTTCCAATGATATTTTTAGAATCAGAATCAGAAGTTTTTATTGCCACATGTGTGCCAAGTCACAACATTATTGCTGCGGTATTTTGGTGCAGAAGGTAAGATAGAAAAAAAATAAATTAAGAGATAAGCAAATATAAGAACTAATAAAACACTCGTGATAAAATTATTAATGTAAAAAGTGGCAAGAATTAGAGAAGCAGCTATCTACTCCGTGTAGGTATTAATCTGAGTATTTGTTGAATGGTTCAAACACAGCATCGGGTCACGTGACTGGGACCAATCAACTTGAGCGGGCTGCCCTAGGATGTTCATTCAGAAGTCCAACTGCAGAGGGGAAGAAACTGTTTTTGTGGCGAGAGGTTCTGGTCCGAATGGATCTGAGCCTTCTGCCAGATAGGAGCGAGTCGAAGAGACCGTGTCCAGGGTGAGACGAGTCAGCTATTATCCGACCTGCACGCCTCAATGTCCTAGAGGTGTACAGATCTTGAATGGAGGGGAGTGATCGTAGCAATCAGATGTTCCACCTTGTTGTTCAAAACAAAGTTAGATGATAGCTGCTTCGATGCTAACGCACACTGTGCTGTTAAAGCTGTTATTGTGAATCTGCAAACAAGCTAGGTTTTAAATGCAAACACAGCCACAGAACACTCACCCCTCCCCTCAGCTACCATTAAGCCCTTTTCAGACAGACATTCTGGAACATTTGCGGACAATTCAATCCGGTTTTTAACCGGAACTGTGTTTTCAGACACACCACTTTTGTACCGGAACTTGTCCTTTCGGCTGCGTTCACACAGCAGGGAAAAGTTCCAGATGTCTGACGGCGGCGGGGAGTGGGGGGGTGGGGGTGGGGGGGGATCGGACTTATGTTAAGAAGAAGAAGAAGAAGAAAATATAATTTCTATAGCGCCTCTCAAGATAAGAATCACGAGGCGCTTAAGCATAATTCTGCGCACACGAAGACGCATAAGAGACCTGGATGATGAAGCTCAATGATTAAAGGAATCACTGAAGCGGTGTGAAGCGCTCCGTCGCGCGTCTAGGCGGTACCGTAGGAGGCGAGCTGCCGTGGTTCGCCGCATGCTACAGCAGCGGGCTATCTGGGTGCGCACAGCGTCCCCCGGTCCCCTCCTCCTCCCCCTCCCTCTTGTCCGGAACTTTACCTCACCAGTCTGAATCAGCCACCCTGTCCGTAACAAGTCCGGACCTGTTACTAGGGGCTTCGTCCGGATAAATTCCGGAACACATTATCCGGATGTTTGTATTCAGACAGAAAGGTCTTACGGACAGATTCCGGAACATTTCAGTTTTTCATGGCCTGTCTGAAGGGGGCTCTAGAGTCTTCTGTCTTAACTGGAAACCCACGATGCCAGAGGAAACAAGATAGTGCTAAACACCAGTCGCCCCTTTCTTGGTCCAAACGCTTTTTGTTGTCCGTGACTTCAAATGGTGTTTTTCTTTTTGGGACTCTTGATAGTTGGTCCTAAAGTTGAAGCGGTACCAGCTGGCTGTTTCTCCTTCTCTGATATTATTGGGCGGAGAACCTCTCACACCAGCGGTGTTCTATTGCTAAATATGCGAGTGTGCAATGAATGGAGGACCCAGGGAAGGCCTGGAAGTTGTTTCGGTGAGACCGACAACTGGAAGGTCTAATGGTTGTTTTCGGTCCGAAAGTTGTTATTAGTGGCGGTTTATAGACAAAAGCGCGAGAACCACTGAATTAACTTTTAAAACATTTTTTTATCTCCACAACATATTTACATATATGCTATGTTAGAATGTTGTAAAGAGGCATGGAAAAATGTTTTGAGCTCATTTGTTTTCCAAATTTGTAACTTTAAAAATGTGATGAATAAATTAAAAAAGGAGGAAATATGTGCATTTATCACAATATGCAGCCTAATTATGATTATTTCACGCTGCCCTAATTTTTACATCTAACTTTTTTGCATGATACAGTTGTTACATATGCTGATCCAAACCAGATGCTGTTCCCTGTGAGCTAACTGTATCCTGCTGTGAGCATGCCTTGCAAATTACTGATTTAAACATAAAATTAAAATGCAAATTAAAATCAAAGAATAAAAATGTGAAGTGAACAGTGAGCTAACTCAACACAACCTGGAGGGATGCACCTACAGAAACAACCCATTCGAAGGATTTTTTTCCCACCATTTTTACATAAAAGTGTCTGATCAACTTCACACACTGAATTACTATATCGTGGAAAATCCATGTTTGGGAGCTTTTAGCATCTATTATTGCATTTTATTTAGAAATTCCTGAAAAGGCCTGATGTGTAAGCTGTACGTCACTCCATCTTCCTGTTCTCAACATCAGGTCCTGCTCCTCCCCCAGAAGCCGTATGGGCCATTCCCATCTGTACCGGGTCGGCCCGGGCCGGGTAGCGTAGGTTGTTTGCATATCTGGGTGGCCTGGCATTTTTCCGGGCCAACCAAGGCTCATTCTCAGCCCTCTTCTCGAGGGGGTCTGCTTCAGGCCGACCAGGGCCAACACACCCACTGCTGACAGCAAATTCACACCTTCCATTAGAGCAAGCCTCTGATTGGTGGGTAGAATCAGCCCACATGGGCTTAAGACAAGGATGTGTGGAATCAACCGGGCCAGGCTGGGGCCGACTGGGGCTGCCCGGCCCAGGCCGACCCGGTACAGATGGGAATGGCCCATTAGTCTATGGTCTGTGACTCGTCTCCCTGGCCAGTTCAGGATGGCATAGGCGATAAGTGTCATAACAGACTTGGTAGTCGAGTGGTAAGAGTACTTGGTTGACACGCAGGTTCAAATCCCGCTTCAGTAGTAACTTTGAAAAATCTTTTTTAGCTACACCTGCCAGTATGTATTCAATACTTTATTGGTAAATAGTTTAAAATATAAGGACTAATCAGTGAATTTTTAATTTTTTTTGCTTTCCTTGTTTATTTAGCCAGTGTGAGTCCATGTGAGGTGAGCAGAGTCGACCAGTTAAAGTGCTGCTTAAAATGACCGAGTTCAAAGATCTTTAGACACACAAAGTATTTTGCATAAAATAATAAATAAAACTAAAATATGAAAACATGAAATCTGCTTCAGCTTGCTAAATAAAAACTGCCGTCCTCTCCGGGAGTCGAACCTACGTCAGCAGATGGCAAAACAGAGCCAGCTGGCAGACACCGTTACAACCGGACTACCACAGTCAGTACAGTAATGGGCCATTCCCATCTGTACCGGGTCGGCCCGGGCCGGGTAGCCCCAGTCGGCCCCAGCCTGGCCCGGTTGATTCCACACATCCTTGCCTTAAGCCCATGTGGGCTGATTCTACCCACCAATCAGAGGCTTGCTCTAATGGAAGGTGTGAATTTGCTGTCAGCAGTGGGTGTGTTGGCCCTGGTCGGCCTGAAGCAGACCCCCTCGAGAAGAGGGCTGAGAATGAGCCTTGGTTGGCCCGGAAAAATACCAGGCCACCCAGATATGTAAACAACCTACGCTACCCGGCCCGGGCCGACCCGGTACAGATGGGAATGGTCCATAAATGACATCCCAGTCGTGCCAGCTGTAATATTTTATCATATATTATGCCTGCCCTTGCTCTCAAGGTTTAAAATAGCATGACATGGAACCTTCAAGTTTCAGACTCCCTCTCATGCTAATTCAAGGTTTTTATTGAAGATCCCTGTGTTTGTCCTTTTTCAGGCAGCAATAGGTCCCACGGCTTTAGACATGGCGAGGATGAGGGACGACGAGCAGCTACAGGAGTACGGTATGGACGTGCTTACTGTGGCTGTGCTTTCCATCCTTCTCACGGCACCCATGGGAGCTCTCATCATTGGGCTCTGTGGACCTCGTCTGCTGCACAAACCAATGAACACGGCCTGTGGTGATCGAGTCAAACCCAATTTATCAACATTTTTCTTGGGTACGTACATTTTGTTATTCACAATCATCTCAGCTCAGCACCCCTGCACAACCTTGCTTTGTAGTCGCGCTCCAGTGGTGAACATCTTTCCCTATCTTTGTGATAGCTTTGTTCACACAAACAAGGATTTGCATCACTTCAGATGCAATGTATTTATTTTTATAGCTTGTTATAGAAAATTTCAGACTGGTTTATTTTTACATGCTTGTCCTTTGCTTAGCTTTAGTTTAGATTGTCATTAAAGGATTTGTTGTCTCTAATTGTCCTCTTTTTGTCTCCTTAGGCACCGCAGCAGGAGGTGAAGATGACACTGAAACTCCAGTCACGTTTGAAAGCACGCTCTGACATCAACATCGGTTTAATAAAACTCCTCAAACCTGAGTCATTTAGCCACTGAGTGGCTCCCTGTCAGCTCTTCATATCTGATTTAACACGTATTTATGGTCTAGGGAAGTTTTCAGGCTGAAAGCTCTTAAAAAGGGCTATGCAACAGACGGCCCGTGGGCCGGACCCGGCCACATATTGTGGCCCCCAAGCTGTAGCTCTTTATCTAAATCCACAAAGCCATCACAAATGTCCACGGTATCGTATGAGTAGCTTGTCATTCTGCAGTGTCGTGCTGAAGTCTGAGTTGCTGCCTTTAATTTTTTTTTAGGCGCGGTGCACTCTGAAGTCAGCTCTTATGGCGTTGAGAGTTCAGCATGGCATGTGTACACCAACACCGCCCGCTCTTGGCCCTTTTCCACTAGAGCCCACTCAGTGTGGTGCAGCTCTACTCTATACAGTAAGGGTGGTTTTCTATTACAACTGAGAAATGGTTTGTTTTAGTGGGGCAGCCCCCAGGGTTCCAAAAGTGATGTAGGTGAAATATATGTGATTAAAAACAATACTGTCCTTGAACTGGGAGATATGGCCTGAAATCAATATCATGACATATTGAGCAGGCTGCACAGTGGCACCAGCCCCCCCACCCCCCACCCCCACCCCCGTGACCCTACATGGACAAGCGGGTTCAGAAAATGGATGGATGGATATAGTGAGGATTTCACCTCGATAACGATAAACGGAATATAATTAAAGGTATGCGCAGAAGCAAAAGTTGTCCACTAGATGGGGCTGTCACATGTATCACATTGAGTCACATTTTTTACGTGACTCAAGGTGGTACAGCTTCAATGTTGCCAACCTACACACATCTTTTCATTTTTTGTTCTCAGATTTAATTACATGGGGAAAATTCTCTCGATAAGAGTCAGAAATTTCAATGACAAAAATTTTTGATTAATTGCCCAGCTCTAGTCTGTCCCTATGTTCAGTCCTCGTTTTAATTTCAGGTGACATTTCGGTGCTGTTGACGAAGTTAACGAGTGTTCTAAAAACCACAGCAGCAACAGCGTTACTGCTACTAGCAGGAAAACCTTGGAACAGCGCAGAGCCGATTCCAGCTTCCTTAAGCAGATTTTAGTAGAAAAGGGCCATTAGATGTGTGGTTTCCCCTGCTCTAAACAAATGAACTTTATACGATTGTGTTTGGCTTGGGGTAAAAAAAAGAACATTTGATCCAATATCATGTACTAGTGTGAGACTTCTGAATGGTTTACATTTTTACAAAGGCTGAATATTTATCTTATTTAATATTTTTCCTTTTTTGTGACTATGTAGGGAACACAAAGTACTTAGATTAAAAGATCAACAATGTTTTTTTGTGCGTGACTGAATGTACTAAATCTTTTGTTGTAATTTGACAAATATTAGTATTATAGATGATTGACTTTCACTTGTGTGCAGTGCTCATTTATGTTTTTGCATAATTTTTAATCTTGTGTATTAGCTGTATGTGTCTACATGAATTATTTGTAGTTTACAGACCTCAGGAGAAACAACTCAGAAGCTGCTTTATCATTACTGAACGAACTACAGCATATACTACAAGGCTTACAGTCTCGCTATCTTGTCCACAGCATCCCTCAAATATGATTTTGACACATTAGGTTTTTAACTACAGAAATATATGCAGTGAAACTTTCTTTGATTTGTTTACATTATTTTGAAATGAAGTATTAGAGATTATGTATGATGACTTTACAGCATTAGGGTTTTTTTTTCAAATAAAAATTCAAAATAACAAAAGTTGTCCTTTTCTTTTAACCCTTTGATGCATGAATTATGAAATCTTCAACCATGATTTTTTTTAACAATTTTTTTCATTCGTCTTTAGGTGTGAATGAAACAAATTTCAACAAATATCTTTTGTTAAATTTTATAATTTACAAATAATTTATTACATGTCCACCTCAGTGGACAGCGTGCATTCTGAACATGAAATATGTTGGCTTGACTTACTGAAGTCCAAATGGAGCGGCTCAAATGCAATAAAGTCTTCAACAGCTGTGCTTAATAGCAAAAACAAATAACAATTTTGAGTACCTGTCCACTGTAGTGACCATTATGCACCAAAGGGTTAATGATAGTGTAATATCTGACACTAGCCACTTTAATTCCAAATTTCTTTGAGCTGAATGTCTATTTCTTAATTTTGCTTCATGCTTAAATATCTAGACACACATTTGTTAAGGTGCTCCTGGTAAATGGAGTCAAGACTTTTACTAATGATAAGATCATGTCTTATTTGTGCTGCAAATCCATCAGCTGCCCTAAATTCTCAATGAGGAAACCAAAAATATTTATGATCACAAGGTTCAACATCGAAATAATATCGAGACATGTTTTGGTCCAATCTAGCATGTTTACAAAGTTATATTTGTGCTGACATCCTATTTTAATAAGCAGCAATGTCTGGATGTACCTGAGTCATGAAATACCAAAGTGAGATGTGACCACGTTATACCCTTATGACACAACAAATGGTGTTGTATTTGTTTTTCTCTTCTTTAGTCACTTCATAGTTAATCAGGTACATTAAAAAGCTCACTGATCAAACTGCTAAACAGAAAAATGTGCACACATACATAAATCTATAGTGCATATAGATCTCTCTCTCTCTACACACACATATGTGTGTGTGTGTAGAGTATGTATTATTTTGTGATACTTGGAAATCTCGTCTCTGACTGGCTAACAGCAAGTAACTTTGCCACTGACTGTTTGCTCTGCGACACACACTCGCCTCAAGGATTATTAGGAACACCTGTTCAACTTCTCCATAGTGGAATTATCCATAGGCGTCATTTTAACCGGGGACGCCGGGGACATGTCCCCGGCAAAATTTGTGATTGGCAGCTGTGTCCCCCCCACTTTCAAAAACGCCTGCTGATGAGGATTTTTGTTTTACCAGCTCAGATCTTATACCAGGGGTCGGCAACCTGTTCCCATCAAAGAGCCATTATTACCCGTTTCCCACGGTAATTCTGGACGGACCTTAATAAGCAGTGACTTAAGTGAAGCAGGCAGGTCGCGCTAGAAAATTTAGTTAAAAAAGATGTCATGAATGTGTTCCCTCGTCATTTTTTATTTATAAAATATGAAGTAAAAACTCACAATTTAATTTTCATTCATTTGTCATTAATATGTAGTCTACACCCGTGCGTTAAGTGGACCATCTTCCAGTAAACGCACAGCATCCAGCCAACCTCTCCAAATGCGTAAAATGTGCATCAGCTGCTAGTTAGGCGCGCCGCGCGCACCATCAGCTACGTCAGCCCAGACAAGAGCAGAGCAAATAGAGACAGAATAGAGGATGATTGTGTCTGGATGTGGATGGAGATTACATTTTACATCAGCCTGATCATCAATTAAATACGTAAACCATCTTCTAGTCCATGCTATCAGCATTATTTTAATTGGTGTGTGTGTGTGTGTGTGTGTGTTTTCCACTTCAAACACTGGTCTAACCAACCAGACCAGCGTGTCCAGTAACATATTAATGTTACAATTAAACAGTTTCACTTCATGTAGGCTAGGAACATTGCACCTGCCGTGGTCCGACCGCTTCTGCTCCACATAAACTTTGTGCGTGATCAAATGTCTCTACGCGTCATGCGTCTCCATATTAGAGAAGGGAACAAGCGCTGTTCAGCCAAAGTTTCATAATTTCATAAAAAGAACATTTTTCCAAGTGACACATCCCTCAGAGAGACCGGGTTTCCAGACTGTTTTAGTGGGAGGAAATCATCGCATGCACCGTGGTTCTGCGCTGCGAACCCCTCAGATCTTCAGCTCACTGTCCACCATGGGCGCTCCGAGCCACGCTTAACCAGTATAAAGCTCTGATGTTCTGATGGGAATATTTTACCTCCGCGATGTGCGTTAACGATTAAAATGTCAGCTCATCCATGCGCATCAGTGTGCGTCGGGGTAATTCTTTCAAACCAAGCAACATCCTTGAGTTCATCTGTCAAAATAAACAGTCAAATGGAAATATCTGTAACCTGCCGTTTAACTGTTTTGCCTTCTTGTGAAGATTGTTGCAAAGAGAAACAATTAAACTTGATTAACCCCAGAGCCACGCAGAGCGCATGCGGGAAGGTTCCTCCCACTGAAGCGAGTGTTTTCCAAACCCGGTCTCTCAGAGAGACTTGTCACTTAGAAAATGTTCCCTGATGATGAAACTTTGGCTGAATAGCGCTTGTTCCTGTCTCCAATGTGGCGACACATCCAGGAGCCGTCTGAGGAGAATCCCAGAATCTCACATCCTCTTCAGCTCATAAAGCGCCTATGATTACGCACAAGCGTGACGCGTCAACCCGGTCTCACAGTAAGACCGGGTTGGACCTGTTCAGGTTTACGCAGACAATCTTTACATTTAGAATTGGCATACAGATGTAAAATTAATGCAGTAAAATATAAAGCATTTTATTTAAATATCCATTCATTATTTTACAAACACAGAGAGCCGCATCAGATGGATGGAAGAGCTGCATGCGGCTCCAGAGCCGCCGACCCCTGTGCTAGCCTACTTTATTGTCCCCAGCAATTTTTAAACCCCACTCAAGTGTATGGTTATTGTCCCCAGCAATTCTGACAACAAACTGACACCCTTGGAATTATCTAATCAACCAATCACATGGCAGCTGCTTCAATGCATTTAGGGGTGTGGTCCTGGTCTAGACAATCTCCTGAACTCCAAAATGAATGTCAGAATGGGAAAGAAAGATGATTTAAGCAATTTTGAGCGTGGCATGGTTGTTGGTGCCAGACGGGCCGGTCTGAGTATTTTACAATCTGCTCAGTTACTGGGATTTTCACCCACAACCATTTCTAGGGTTTACAAAGAATGGTGTGAAAAGGGAAAAACATCCCGTATGCGGCAGTCCTGTGGGCGAAAATGCCTTGTTGATGCTAGAGGTCAGAGGAGAATGGGCCGACTGACTCAAGCTGATAGAAGAGCAACTTTGACTGAAGTAACCACTCGTTACAACCGAGGAATGCAGCAAAGCATTTGTGAAGCCAAAACACGCTCAACCTTGAGGCGGATGGGCTACAACAGCAGAAGACCCCACCGGGTTCAACTCATCTCCACTACAAACAGGAAAAAGAGGGTACAATTTGTACCAGCTCACCAACATTGGACAGTTGAAGACTGGAAAAATGTTGACTGGTCTGACGAGTCTCGATTTCTGTTGAGACATTCAAATGGTAGAGTCAGAATTTGGCGTAAACAGAATGAGAACACGATCCATCATGCCTTGTTACCACTGTGCAGGCTGGTGGTGGTGGTGTAATGGTGTGGGGGATGTTTTCTTTGCACACTTTAGGCCTCTTAGTGCCAACTGTGCAAGGTTTAAATGCCACGGGCTACCTTAGCATTGTTTCTGACCACGTCCATCCCTTCATGACCACCATGTACCCATCCTCTGATGGCTAATTCCAGCATGATAATGCATCATGTCATAAAGCTTGAATCATTTCAAATTGGTTTCTTGAACATGACGAGTTCACTGTACTACTACGGCCCCCACAGTCACCAGATCTCAACCAGATAGAGCATCTTTGCGATGTGGTGGAACGGGAGCTTGGTGCCCTGGATGTGCATCCCACAAATCTCCATTAACTGCAAGATGCTATCCTATCAACATGGCCAACATTTCTAAAGAACGCTTTCAGCACCTTGTTGAATCAATGCCACGTAGAATTAAGGCCGTTCTGAAGGCGAAAGGGGGTCAAACACCCTATTAGTATGCTGTTCCTGATAATCCTTTAGGTGAGTGTAGATGTTTTATCTCCACAAATAACTTCATCCTGAAGTTCAGCTGTGTGGTTGAGTGGCTAATGCTAACGGTTAGCTTCTTCTTGACACGTTCTCTGCTGTTTCCTGGCTTAACCAACAGCCTTCCCCGTGACGAGTCAAGATGGGTGAGTCCATGAACGTTCAGTGACAGTGTGTCAGGATTTTCTAATCCTGTCCTAGTTTCATCGTCTATTTTCCATCAGAAGCTAATGTAGGAGATAGGTGTAGGAGATTATTTTCATGTTCAGCTTGCATGAAAAATGCAGAGTGACTGATTATAATCAGAAATAATAAATAAAAACAAAGGTCTATCAGTGATCCACACCTTTAACAAAGGCAGAAGTCTGCTTAAGCAACTCCAACCTGAATTTATTTATTTAACATTTAGTATGACTAAATTCAAGCCACAATCTAACAAAGAGTCAGACAACATTCAAAAACATCTGGAAAATGCAGGTCGGACAATAAAAAACAGATCTTTAATTGGAATATTACTGATCAGTTATAAAGTCCTTGAAGAAAAATTAAGCGAATAAAAAAAATATGTTGTGGAAATCTTCGAAGCCCCACGAGGTTTGTGAGCTTTGGTGGTTTGAAATGTAGCCTCACATAAGAGAATATTACACACTATTAAGGGACAGCAGTAGCGCAGGAGGTAGAGCGGGTTGTCCAGTAATCGGAAGGTTGCAGGTTCGATCCCAGACAGAGAACAAGACACTTTACCCGCTTCACCCGCTGGTGGTGGCACCCGTGCTCGGCAGCCTCGCCTCGGTCAGTGCGCTCCAGGGCAGCTGTGGCTACAATGTAGCTCATCGCCACCAGTGTGTGAACATATGAATGATACACTGTAGTGTAAAGCGCTTTGGAGTCCTCAGACTCTGAAAGGCGCTATACAAGTGTGGGTCAAATGTGTGTGGGTTCAAATTTGGCACAAAGATGAACTAAAGCGTGATTAATCTAGAAAAAAAAACATTACACTAGTCCTCCAAAGCAAAGACAAAATGTTAGGTCCACATTTAATTAGTATTTCTGGGAATAAAATGTCTCCTTCAAATGAATGCAGCTCGTTAGAAGTGACAACAGTGATTTCATTTATCTCTGAGGTCGTCTCCTTTACGTGGTCCACCTTCCTTTTGCATTTGACTCATACATTCTCAAGGCCGTTGTGTTGAAAAGTGAATGAAAGAACTGTAGCATCATCAAGGCTCTCTAATTAGTGGCAACGGTCACATTTACCCAACTGGGTCAAGCTGGGTCAAACAGTACTTCTAAACCCACAGATTAACCAAAGAGCCATGATGTCTGCTCAATATCGTATCACCTGTCGGCTGCTGTTCCATCCCGGGAGAAGGACACTTCAAGTTCAGGATGATAATAATTAAATGATAATATTAATAAAATATATTTGATTTTGATGATGCTACAGAACAAAGGGACGTAAAAACAAACAAAAAAACCCAACAAATCTCCAAACCGCAACTCAGCTATGACACTCTCAGACCGTGGGTTGTGTTATTTATATTAACAATAAACATATGACACCAAATAGCACAAAGAAATAACTGAATTAGTCAGAAATAAACTGTCAGCGGTCGACTAAACCATCTTCTTCTTGAGTATGAGTGGTCCCACGTTGTCTCCGGTTAGTTCGTTGTGCTTTAAGTGCGACTTGTCACAAACGGGAAACTAAAGAGAGGGAAAAAATTCATGTTAGCTGATGAGCAAGCTGCAAAGAACCCCAAAACATCTAAAAATGTGAACAGATTTAAAAACAGAGTGTAGACGTATATATTCCCAATGTCTTGTGTGGTTCATAACTAATAGGGATGTTCCGATCACGGCTTTTTGCTCCTGATCCGAGTTTGAGTCATTTGATTTTGAGTATCTGCCGATAGAGTCCCAATCCAATACTTCAGCAATGCATTAAAGGAAAAAGGAGAACACATCCATGTTTTCCTTGAAGTTTTCTTTTTCTTTCTTTCTGTATTTATGCTATTTCCTTAGTTGATCTGAGATTAAAAAAAAATCACTCATTCAGGAAGTACATGGATGAGAAACATGTTAATATTACCAACATTTTAAAACCCATAGCCTTGTCTGCCATATTTCAAATCGTTTACGTTTTCAACATGTGGCTGCATCTGGATGGGCGTTTCTGTGATGGGGCAGGCACGCGGCGCCATGGCCGGCACGCTCGCTTACCTCGGCCCAACACCTGTAACTACCACGGCTACAGCAGACTATGAAAACTAACATTTTGCTCTCCAACAGCAATTTCTCTTTGTTTATTAAAGTATCTTTCAGTGTCAGCTGCCTGGCTCCTTGTTCTTCCCAGAGCTGCCACAGTGAACTAGGATTTAATGGAGAAAGATGATTCGCTGTGGCGACACTTGAAGGGAGACGCTGAAAGAGGAAGATGTTTGTTTATGAGGCGCCGTCTTTTCCACCGTGATGCCCAGTATGCATGCATCTCAAGTTGCGGTTCCACTGCCTCCGCTGTCCGGTTTAAAGTACGTCCAAACTGCAGACGCCTTCGCTCTCCAAAGGCGATGCGTTAGCTCTGTGTTAGCCTGCTAACCAACAGCTACATGTTAAGCCATTAGTTGTGGAATGTTATGATTTTGTTGTTGACTTAGAAACAAAGAATATTAATGTAGAGGAAGTTGTTAAAGTAAAACTAAATCATTGTATTTTCGCTCGAAATTCTCCAAGGACAAATTTAAAGGCACACTTGGCAGTTTTGCTTGCTTTAAGCACCCCCTACTGTCCGTTGTTAATTCTCTGTAGTCAAACCAAAAATGAAACTTATTTCCTTGCTGTACGTTAAAGGTTGAATATGTGGAACACGGACGCCCTGGCGACATCTAGTGTTTAGAGGTGGTAGCTGCAACAGCAGAAAACATTTTCCAGCCGTCGGGGTGTTGGGTCACTGCTGACACGTTACGTGACCAGCCAGCCCAACGTCCAGTGACAAATCGTACAGAATAAGGTCTAATTTGGGGCAGCAGTAGCTCAGGTGGTAGAGCGGGTTGCCTCATGATCGGAGGGTCATGGGTTCGATTCCAGCTCCCGCCAGGGGTATCCTGCTGTTGTGTCCTTGGGCAAGACACTTCACCCAACTTGCCTGTGTTAGTGGTGGTCAGAGGGGCCGACGGCGCCAAATGGCAGCCTCGCCTCTGTCAGACCTCCCCAGGGCGGCTGTGGCTACAAGTAGCTTACCATCACTAGCAGTGTGCGAGTGTGTGAAAGCGTCTTTGGGTATCTAGAAAATCGCTATATAAGTTCAATGCATTATTATTATTATTATTATTAATGTCTACTAATAAGTTTATTTTACAACAGTATTTACTATTAGAACATCTTCTGGGCTCAGAATCAGCTGCTTGACTTGCCAAGTCCACCACTTTACACAGTCCCAGCCTCCACTTGCAGAGTGGAGTTTTTAGAGCAATGGTGCCATCTAGTGGCTGATAGATGTAAACATAAACCCAGTGTCATTAAAATGCAATTATTTATTTTTTTAAATATAACTTATACAGGAGAAACTGTACATTCACTCTGCACACTCCTAAACACCCCGTGGAGGTATTATTTATTTAAAATCTAGCTTTTTATTAAAATGTTCCATATTCCACCTTAATCTAACTGCTGAAATGTCTCCCAGCCTTCATTAGTGTCTACAGGAGCGATTCATCACTAAATCAAACAAATCAGCTGTGTTCATGATCTAAAACATGCACGAAAGGTGCTGGAAGCAGACTGCAGCGCCAGGTATGTCAGTACATTTTTTTTAAAGTCAAACAGGTATCAGCCCACCGCACTGAAGTTGCAAATGCCTTATTCTGGCCACTGATGATGGTAGGGATCTGAGTGACTTCATTAACCCTTTAAAGTGTCATTTAGCACATATTGGCTCAAGAAAATTATTAAAAAATATGAAAAGGTTGCAAAGCGTGGCTTTAAAATGTCACGTTTTATGCTGGTTAAATCCGATCTTTTCCACCCGCTTCCAATCATTTGAAAATCACATGATTGGGCCCGATTTCATGACTCGACTGGATTGGAGCATCTCCAATAACTAAGACACACAGATTCAAACGTCAAATTTAACTTACAGTTTTGGAGCGCCAACAGCGACAGTAACACACATTTGCACTGTTCAGGTCCTCTATGTCGATCTCATTCATCACTTTAGGGTTCTCTTTCTGGATCTTTAGATTAATCAGGCTGTCTTTTTGTTTCTTCTTCTTAGGCAGGAATGGACGGATGGTCAGATAACCCAACAAGGCCAGGATACCAAGGAGAGGCAGCAACCGGAGCCACTCTGACACTACGGAAAAGAAACACTCACATCAGCAAAAAGACTAGATGCTGATCATGCAACTGGAATGCATTTCCACTTAGTATAAGTGGAAAACTATGTATTTATATTAGGAAAAAAAAACACATTAGTTTTCCTGTATGTGGAACACAATCTGACATTAAATATGTTCAAATGTTGCATCAACTAGGTCAGTTTGGCCACATAACTTCCCCTAATGAAAGTATCAGCAACCAATCAACCCTGACATCCTTTGCATAGTGATGATGCAAGACATGGTAAAAACTTTGGGTTGTAAATATTGATCATTTCAATGCTGATAACAGGCTGATTCTAGGTTATTTATGTCTGTATGCAAATTTGAGAAGTTGCAGATGTTGAGGACAAGATCAGGTCTGACCTGCAATAATAGTATCCTGTTTTATTTCACCAGGGGACTGCTCAATGTCACTCAGTTCACACCAGCTACTACCAGGAAGGATCCCAAAGCATCCACTTCAAAAATAATTAGCAGGAATCAGAATTTTACTATTGCCATTTTAATGTTATCAATATAAATGCAAAGTGTGGCATTACAACAATTCAAATGCAGTTCACTCTCAAATTATTTAGACACATTTATGCTTTTTTTGGCAGAGTTTATAGTTTAGAAGATAATGCATTAGTAATTGTTTGTTTAGAGACCTTTCAAGTTGAAGGGAAAGTCCCATAGTGCGTGTGCGTGTGTGTGTGTGCGTGCGTGCGTGTGTGTGTGTGTGTGTGTGACCTACAACAACCAGAAGAATGTCATATTGGGTTAAACTCTCTTATTCATTGTTCTGGAAAAAGGGAAAACGTGTTTCATGCTAGCTCTGAAGCAAAGCAGCAAGGTAGCTTGTGTAGATTTAAGTCTGATAATGCAACCAGCCCTTCTTCAGCTTTTCTTCGTGAAACGCTAAAACGACGCCCTGAAGAACTTTAAATTTTCCAGACAGATGAAGTTAGAAGATCGATTCTTTGTGAGAGCTGTATCCGATGAGTTCACAAGCCACACAGCCGTGGTTAACTTAATTACTGTTAACCTCGCGAACCCCCCGATCGTCTCCGGAAGTGGTAGTCTCTTGAGGTAGGCTGGAAGTTGAACTTTTATAATCTTAGCAATAGTTTCTAAAACCATCTTGAGTCGCTCACCAGAGACTGGGTTTTGTTGTTTGACTTGGGTAGTTCCTGGGGTTCGTTTATGTCACTGCGCTCTTTTACCAGCGTAGACGCGCGGTACGTAAAACCACACACATGTCTACGTGCAAGATGGTGCAAGCTGACGAAGCGGAGCGCAGTTGTTTTCTGTGAATACACGTAAAGATGTCACGTGATGATTTCACACAACCAATCAGCGTCGGAAGAGTTGGTGGCTCCTGATTGGACAACTTGAATTAGACAGGAAGGTCTTTGAGAGGTTCATTTTAAAAAGGGACACCACTGTGTTTACATAACCTTCCTGTCAATGAAAACCTGTTGATTAGTTTTTTAAAAAGTCACACAGAACAATTTGTATGTTTGCTGCAAAACATTTAAACCGAGAAAGAACTAAAGAAAATTAGATAACCAAGGGTTATGTTATTTATGCAGAATGTAGAAACACTAACAGCAGATGATGAACTGACAAAGGCAGACAAGCATGAGCATCAAGAATCAGAAGAAGCAAATAATTCTGACCCAGTAAGTAGTTCATAAATAATTTAATAGGATTATTACTATTATTACAATAATAATAATAATAATAATAATAATAATAATAATAATAATAATAATAATAATAATTATTATTATTATTATTATTGAGATATCATACAGTTTAGTGCATATCTAACCAGTAATGCATGTGCACTAGTTTAAGTCTCAACAGGAAACGTTCCACTGAAGAAACATGTTCCTAAATAATTTAATTATAGTAATAAAAAGTAAGTCAGATTTTAATTATAATACAACATATTTTCTTAATATTCTGCTGCTGTCAAATTTTAAACAGCTTTAAACAAATTTTTTTTCTATTTACACAAGGGCTTTGTCTATCTCTGAAGTTTTTTCTGATGATTTTTATAGCTATTAAAAAGTCCAACACAATGTTTTAACGCAAGTTTACATGGGTGACTGTAACTACAATAACCTTAACATTTGGTTAGTGTGGAATTTGTTATAAAAATTTTATTTTGTGAAATGGTAATGTTTTAATTGTGTGAGTTGTTTCAAGAAACAGCAACATTGCCACAGAAAATAAATCGACATAAAATGTCAGTTTTATTTCATTTTCCAGAAGTTGCTGATAAATGTGTAATGTGTGTAAAATATGTTTTTATGCATATATTCAAATATATTTGCAACTTCTATCCCTTTACCTCATGAGATACAGACGCCATCTAGTGCTGGCACTTGTTCTGTTCACTAGATTTGTGAAGGACTTCATTACCCAGAGTGCATTGTATCCTGAAGACACTTGCTGCAGCGCCTGCCTCAAAAGAAACAAGTAACAAAATAAACGTCGGTGTCTGTCTGCTATCTGTTTCTTACGCAATAAAATTCCAAAAAGGAAGGGACCCATCTAATTTTCCAACTGACCGATATTTTTTGAAGTTTAATCGAATCTCTAAATTGTTCAGGCAAATTTTAAGTTAGCTAACTTCCCACTGTAGGCCCCCAACCGCTTGTGTCATTGGTGAATGACCGAAGATGTCTCACAGCAGGTTATTTGCCAAGCTGCTTTGTAAGTATTTTAACATTTTGCTATTTTATTGTCATGAACAGTTCAAGCATAGTCTCAGTAAAATATGAACATTTTTTGGTTCTTAGCTGGTCATTATTGATAAAGACTCATACAGCCTTCCACAGAGTAAACTACTGCCACTTGGCTCCCATGCTAGCTAGCTACATTTGTCGGCGCTGTATGAAATGATGATAATCGTAAGCTCATTGACTATTAGCGATCAAGTTAGCAGGCTAAGTTTTCAGGAAGGTCCCACAAACAATCTACTTCCCCTTTGATAATTTATCTGGACTTTAAAGCGTCTGTTAATAGCTGTGAAGGGGTCAACTTTGTCAGAGTTAATGATTTAGCACAAGAAAAACATCCACTCTGCAGGAAAATGTTTTTGATGGATCCGAATTTGAAAACGCTTTTCGCTGAATAATTCTGCATAGGTTACGATTTGTTTTTATTAACAAACACCTCCTGTTTTGTAGTATACTTCCCTATTCACGTGGAGGGATTGAACTTTACACTGAGTAATTGCAGGTGTCAGTAAAACACAGAATGAGGATCAAAGTGCAGTCTCAAGAGCTGCAGCAGGGGCTGTAATATTAGTTCGTTCATTACTCATCTAATATGTTACTTTGTCTCATTGCTTGAATTAGAACAACATTTTTCTGTTCGGTGATCCTGCATAAGGTTTCTCAGTCATCGAGTATTGACTTTTATTTGTTGCGCGATTTAACATATTTGCTTGTAAAAATGCCAATCATTTCAAATTAAATGCCGTTTGGCTTTAAAATATTTGTGGCCAATCTTATTTCTGCTTGTTTTGATTTGGACATTAAACATGCAGTTTTTCATTTAAACATTCTGTAATTTAATCTGTAGTCTGTATTAAGTGAATTTTCTTTTAATCATAGTGACATTAGCTTCCGTTGTTGTTTGTATTTGTTTTAAAGTGCTTTCTTAAAGAGCAATTCACCTCCTACCAGAGTCTCACTCCACTCCCACTTCCTGTTTGAAAAATGCAACAAATGCTGTGCACCTCTTACCCGATAGCGATGGCAGATTTAAATTCAAACGCAGTGCAGAGTTTTTACCTGAAGAGGGTGTAACACTGACAGCTTTAGGCAGAAGATTTAAAATTGAATTAAAATGCAGTAAAGGGACATATTATTGTCTATGCGTGTCTACAGCACGATTAGACACTCATTTATATAGTTTATCAGCAAAAAAAGTTGATTTGGGGTGACGTGCTGTTCAAGGAGTTGCAATCTGCAAAAGTGGTGACTGTTTTGGTGGTCACATTGGCTTCTGAAAGTAAACTTTGAGGCTCCAGCAAAAATCTTTTCAACATTGGTCAGTGAATTAGTTAGCAAAATGTCAGAAAGCGAGGGGAGGCAAAGGAAACCACGCACTCCCAGAGCTCAACTTGACATTTCAAAAGCTGTAAACAGCAAATTGTTTGGATCTTTTGCTCAATAATCAGCTGGTGCAATTAAATTATTTTCTTTTGTTTTGTTGATTACGTTTCTGTTGATTGACATAATGATCAACAAGCAATCAAGGCATGCTTTTCTTGGACTGTACTTTATTTGTGTGCACTCAAGTCAGTGAATACTTATGTTTTGATTTTTAGTTTGAAGCATGTGGCTCATTAGTTTTTATGTCTGTTGAATGCTGTTTTGGGCTAGTTTTACACACTCCGTGATCTAATTAGTTATCACAAGTTATTTAATTTTTCTGATTTAATACGGCTCAGCGTGGAATTCGAAAATGTGACCTTCATCCTAAATCAAGTTAGAAGCAGCTGTTATTCTGAGCAAAACTAGAGTGAATGTGTGTGCTGTACATGAATGTCTGATATTTTGACCTTTAACAAAAGCAATAAATTCAATATGTTCATATTGCATTATTAATTCATAGTTGCATTTTTTGTTTTATAGATTTTAAAAGGCAGTCAGGTCTGGAAAAAGCTGATAGTGTTGTTCAGCAACTGTACAAGAATCTGCTGCCAAAACACTACAGAGCATTTGAGTAGACAGAGAATACTGTCCTCAAAGAAAACTGGTAACATTTTAATAATCACTGTAAAAATAATGAGAGTTGGTGTTTCTGGGAACTTAGCAGGAATTCACATTTTGTAGAAATTTCAGAAAATCTTTTGTAGCAGCTTATTGTTTCTTTATGCAGCACAAAGAATGTTTCCGACAAATGGAAATAGAATGATTTGAGTCTGAAACTTAACCTGTGTGTTTATCTAACATCCGGTTGCTTTCCCTTTCCTTTTCAATCCTCTCAGTGCAGCACAGTGGAGTCAGACACTGTTATACTGGAACAAGAAAGAACCTCTACATCAATAAGAACACCAAGGTCATCTGCCAGGGTTTCACAGGAAAGCAGGTTTGTATTGACGGCTCAACTATAATCTTACTTCACATCAGTTTATCTTACTGTAATCCTATTGTGAAACTCTGGTTTCCCCTACTGCCTCAAAAACTCCCTCCACCCTTTTTTCTGTCATTTTCTTTCTTACTAAGCTTCCTAGGAGAGTGTGAATATTGTCACACATGTTTTTTTTTATCCCATTGACGTTTTCACCTCTGAGCTGAACATATCTGTGCGTGCGTGCGTGCGTGCGTGCACTTGGTGGAAGTGCATGTCAGGCTTCGAGTGCATAGTAAACAGGTCAGCAAAAAACTGTAGAATTGGGACAGTGAGGAATTGGTCATCAACCCGCGCTACTGCGTTGTACCTCTGTGACTTCCTAAATGGGATTGCCGGTCACTGTTTGTACTAGTTTGCTACTTGACATAATAAAACAAGTTATTGAATTACTCTCATGTCCATCCATCCATTCTCCTCCGCTTATACGAGGTTGGGTTGCAGGGGCAGCAGCCTGATTGGGGGGGGGGGGGGGGGGGGGGGTACCCTGCAGTAGGGCTGCAACGATTTGTCGACGTTGTCGACAAATATCGACAATAGAAATAGTCAACAATGACTGTCATTGTCGATGTTGTCGCCAGACGTGTTTTTTTCCGACCGAGTGAGTTATTTCACTTCATTACAATCTCTGCCGAGAGTCGCACATGCGCAATAGCTTCTCTGCTGAGCATAAACCAACAGAAATGAAGGCGTCCAACACAGCAGCTACGCGTACCAAAACATCTAAAGTTTTGGAGCATTTTAGCCTGGATTCGGCGAATAAAAATTTTACCTGCATTATTTGCAAAGCAGTCCTTGTGTATCACGGCAGCACCTTGAAGATGCACTAACACTTAAAAAAAGCACATCGGACAGTTGAATGAAACAGAGTCTGACTCACCTCGGTAAGATTTAAATAACACGAAAACTAATAAGTTTTGTTTTGGGTGTACGTTGTACATTTTTCAAACGATTTTTTGCTTTTAAAACAGAGATTTTAAGTTATGCCTGACTGTGCCTGACAAAAGTATTTTAATTTTATTCATGCATTTATGTCTATACTGACTGAGCACTGTGCCTAATTGGTGTTAGACAGGGCCTTTTTATTTACTTTTAGTATGAATTGGCCTATCAGCAGCAAAGTTCAATAAAATATGCATTTTCCATTGAAGTACCCATCTTTCTTGTGTTTATTATCATTTTTCACACACTTAAAGCAATCTCATGCTAAATTTAAGAAAAATTTAATAATTATCCGACTAGTCGACTAATCGTTTAAATAGTCAGTGACTAGCCAACTATTAAAATAGTTGTTAGTTGCAGCCCTAACCTCCAGCATGTCCTGGGTCTCCCTTTAAGTCTTCTCCCAGTTGGATGTGCCCTGAAAACCTCACCAAGGAGGAGTCCAGGAGGAATCCCATCTACACTGAACAAAAATATAAATGCAACACTTTTGTTTTTGCTCCCATTTTTCATTAGATGGACTTAAAGATCTAAAATTCATTCCAGATACACAATATTACCATTTCTCTCAAACATTGTTCACAAATCAGTCTAAATGTGTGAAAGTGAGCACCTGTGCTTTGCTGAGATAAAGATGCTGATCTGACATCATGAGTAGTGACCAGGTGTACCTTAGACTGCCCACAATAAAAGGCCAGGGGGTCGCGGGGGCAGTAGCCTAAGTCGAGAGGCCCAGACTTCCCTCTCCCCATCCACTTGGACCAGCTCTTCCGGGGGAATCCCAAGGCGTTCCCTGGCCAGGTGAGAGACATAGTCTCTCCAGCATGTCCTGGGTCTCCCTTTAGGCCTCTTCCATTTTGGACTTGCCTGGAAAATCTCACCAGGGAGGCATCCAGGAGGCATCCTGACCAGTTGCCTGAGCCATCTCAACTGACTCTTCTTGATATGGAGGAGCAGTGAATCTACTCCGAGCCCCTCCCGGATGACTGAACTTTCTCACTCTATCTCTAAGGGAGATCCCAGCCACTCTGCAGAGAAAACTCATTTCGGCCGTTTGTATCCGCGATCTCGTTCATTCGGTCACTACCCAAAGACCCACTGGATGGGAAGGAAAAATTGAAGGACGCAAGTGTGGAAGTGCGAGTTTTTGGACAGAGCTTATTCTACTACATGAGATAATAGAAGTCACTAGCAGGCTCAGCAATTCCTTTTTGAAGTGATACTTGATGCTGATTCAGTTGTTGCTTCTTTCCACAGAAAAACAAGATTAAGAGGCAGAGGAAACATTAGCAGATGAAGTAGAAACACCTTTACAGTCTTGTAGCAATAAATTTAGATTTATATCTATATTTCAAATGTGGCATAGATTTAGCTTGTTTATGATCTTATATTAGTTAATTGGGGCATCACCCAGAGGGCTGCACAGTGGAGCAGTGGTTAGAGCTGTTGCCTTGCAGCAAGAAGGTCCTTGGTTCGCTTCCCGGCCTGGGATCTTTCTGCATGGAGTTTGCATGTTCTCCCTGTGCATGCGTGGGTTCTCTCCGGGTACTCAGCTTCCTCCCACCGTCCAAAAACATGACTGTTAGGTTGATTGGTCTGTCCAAATTGTCCTTAGGTGTGTGTGTGTGTGTGTGTGTGTGTGTGTGTGTGCATGATTGTTTGTCCTGTGTGTCTCTGTGTTGCCCTGCGATGGACCGGCTCTCTGTCCAGGGTGTACCCCGGCCCGCCTGATTGCCCGTTGACCGCTGGAGATAGGCACCAGCCCAACAAAGTTCCAAACAAAGTTAACTTGAGGACATAAAATGTGGATTTCCGCTACAGTCTTAAGAAGAATTTGGAGAGCTGAATTTCTGTTAAGTACTGTAAATATTTGTAAGAAAAGTATACTTGTGTCTAAATCCTAAGTGGATTTAACTTTGTACCTGGTCACCAGTGTGGCTTAGCCATAAGCAGAAGTGGCCGTAACTACAGAACCATCCTCACAGTCACATTGTAATAGTTGAGTTGTCTAAAACTCTAGAAAACGAATGTTTCCTCCTCGGTTTTAGGCTTTTAGCCTCCGGTGGCGACCTTTGTCATAATCTCTATGTTCACGAGTCGAGTAAAACTCTGACGGATTGTCGATCCTTCATGTTATTTTTACACATGAAAACGCTAAGAAGACCTTTAAAACCGGAAATAAAGATGAAAATCTCGGTGTGTTCAACAAGCCAGAAACGTGTTCGTACCCCACCTCTGTCCTTTTGCACATTTGTTTCTCGAGCCTTAAATAGAAGGCTGTTAAAAATAGTTCCAGTGAACACTCTGGGTAATGAAAGGAAGATGAGAAATGGAACAAGCGCTGCTGAGTGCACACCGCCGTGTCCTTCTGGCTTGATAAGCCCGCCATTTTTCACCCAACGTTTGTGGAAATAATGAGTGGTAAAAACAGCAAAGTGAGCAGCATGAAGGAGTTTCTTATGAATGCAGCTCCTAATATAACCTAATGGGTGAATAACTTATTTTTTATGTATGCGGCCATTTATTTGTATTGTCTCCTACTTGACGTAGCTGCAGTTTACCTAAAATGTTCCTTTTTGTTTGATTGGATTCGAGCTGCAGAAAATCAGTTTTGTGAGTTTGGTGCACGAGTGATCAGAGAATGAATCTCCGGCATGTTTTTACTACCTAAAACCGTCCTTATTTCTTTTCTGGTACTCGCTTGACCCCGACATTGATGATCTTTGGCTAATGAGTCCTAGCACTGAACTTAAACTTTGCTTCTACAAACTTAAGGGGTTACTTCCTCTGTGCTGCCAGTAAACCTTCTCAGCTAAAGCAACACTGACTTCTTCTGAGACACACGTGGAAGTGACAGGGTGTGAAAACTCGTTCTCGAAGTATTTTACAGGAATTGCCACTCAGGATTATCTAAACCCTTTTCTGCTTTTCAGATGCCCTGCAAGAAGATTAAAGTAATATGACATCATTATGTATTTGTGAAGGACGTTTCGATTCCCTCTGGTTAAACACATTTGCTGGTAGCTTCATCCCACTTCACCCAGAAACCCCCAGGATGGACACATATATACGCTGAAATCTGTTTGCACTGATAGAAGTGGCTCTGTCCTGTTTCATTATTCACATTGATTCCTGTTCTCTCCTCTCATATAGGGAACATTTCACAGTCAGCAGTCTCTTGATTATGGCTCCAAGTTAGTTGGAGGTGTTTCTCCTGGGAAGGGGGGTCAGACGCACCTTGGCCTGCCCGTCTTCAACTCAGTCAAGGAGGTTCGTGTGGCTTAAATCTTTCACGCTTTAAGAATTCAAAAGTTGAGTAAGATTCCCAGCCCCTGTTAATCTTTATTTTTGAAAGTAACATTAGGTGGCACTATTTCACAACTTCAGACGTTCCATTTTCTGTGCACCACCGGCACCTTTGTCCGTTGTTTCAGGCAAAGGAGGGCACAGGGGCAGATGCCACAGTGATTTATGTCCCTCCACCGTTTGCGGCTGCAGCCATCATCGAGGCCATCGAAGCAGAGGTGCCGCTGGCGGTGTGCATCACTGAGGGCATCCCCCAGCAGGACATGGTGAGAGTGAAACACAAGCTCCTGCGCCAAAGCGCCACTCGCCTCGTAGGCCCCAACTGCCCAGGAGTCATCAACGTGAGCACACACACACACACACACACACACACACACACACACACACACACACACACACACACACACACACACCCACCCCTTTGTTTTTTGTGTTGGAGATCTGAATATAGTTATGTTTTCATTGATGCAGAAACATTTATTTTAATTTAATACATCATATCATACCATAGTTTATTTATATAGCACATTTAAAATGCAGCATGGGAGCTACCCGAAGTGCTGCACAGGCTGAAACAAAACGCGACCATTCTAAAGCCCTTTTCAGACTGACATTCTGGAATATGTGTGGACAATTCAATCCGGTTTTTAACCGGAACTGTGTTTTCAGACACACCACTTTTGTACCGGAACTTGTCCTTTCGGCTGCGTTCACACAGCAGAGAAAAGTTCCAGATGTCTGAGGGGCGGGGGGATCGGACTTATGTTAAGCATATTTCTGCGCACACGAAGACGCATAAGAGACCTGGATGATGAAGCTCAATGGTTAAAGGAATCACTGAAGCGGTGTGATGCGCTCCGTCGCGCGTCTAGACGGTACCGTAGGAGGCGAGCTGCCGTGGTTTGCCGCATGCTACAGCAGCGGGCTATCTGGGTGTGCACAGCGTCCCCCGGTCCCCTCCTCCTCCCCCTCCTCCCTGTCCGGAACTCGATCTCACCAGTCTGATACAGCCACCTTGTCCGTAACAAGTCCGGACCTGTTACTAGGGGCGTCGTCCGGTTAAATTACAGAAAACGTTATCCGGATGTTTGTATTCAGACACAAAGGTCTTACGGACAGAGTCCTGAACATTTCCATTTTTCATGGCCTGTCTGAAGGGGGCTTAAGGAACTAAAAGAGAAGATAAAAATACCGATCAAAAGCAGATAAAACATGATGAATACTGAGAACACATTAAAACAATGACACAATTAAACACTAAAACGAGTCACTGTCTAAAAGCCGAATCGTAAAAGTGGGTCCTTAAACGAGATTTAAAAACCGCCAGTGATGGAGCCTGCCGAACTCCAATGGGCAACGAGTTCCACAGCTTTGGGGCCGCATGTACAAATGCTCGTTCACCCCGCGATTTGCATCGCATCCGCGGCGTACACAGCAGCAAAAGGTCAGCCGACCTCAACGTGCACGTGGGTACATATGGAGTGAGCAGGTCAGAGAGATAGGGAGGTGCCAGGTCGTTGAGTGCTTTAAATACAAAAGTCAATAACTTAAACTGTACTCTGAAAATAATAATAATAATACATTTTGTTTAAAAGTGCCTTTCAGAACACCCAAGGTCACTTGACAGAAAACACTTAATAAAATACAATAAAACAATAATAAAACCCAAACAAGAAAAAAAAACAAAGAGAGAAACAGTTCAATAAAATCAGAGGTCGTAGGCAGATTTAAACATATGTGTACCGAGTTTGGTTTTGAAAAGGGTAAAACTGTCGATGTTCCTGATGTCTGGGGGAAGTGAGTTCCAGAGACGAGGAGCAGAGCGGCTGAAAGCTCTGCTCCCCATGGTAGCGAGACGGGCAGAAGGAACCGCAAGATGGATGGAAGAAGAAGATCTGAGTGAACGGGATGGGGTGTGAATACTTATAAGATCTGAGATATATGGAGGAGAGAGGTTGTGGATTGCTTTGAAGGTATGGAGGAGAATTTTGAAGATGGACCTGAATTTAACTGGGAGCCAGTGAAGCTGCTGGAGAACCGGGGTGATGTGGTGAAAGGAAGGGGTTCTGGTGATAATACGGGCTGCTGAATTCTGGACCAGTTGCAGTTTATGAAGGAGTTTGTTGGGGAGACCATAAAGAAGTGAATTGCAATAGTCGATACGGGAGGTGACGAGGCTGTGGACGAGAAGGGCGGCAGTGTGAGGGGTCAGTGACAGGGTAATGACATGGTAATGAAAATGACAGGGTATGATGACATCATACCAAATAAAGCAGAGATTCTTGGGTGGGTGGGTTTATTTATCATTTAGTTTCTGACAGCGTCTCTCCTTTATGAAGACACAAAGTTTTTTATTAAATTATTTCTTTTTATGATTGTTTTGCAGTGGTTGGTTTTTGCAACAGTTTGTAGAGATTTATAGTTTGTGTTAAGTGAAGAAAAAATGTGAAGGTCAATTCAGGGTTGAAATTCAAGTGTTATATTTCTGGTGATTGAGAACATTTAGTTGTTTCGTTTTTGTGTCATTTTAAAGACCAGTTTGTGTCTTTTTCAGCCTGGAGAATGCAAGATCGGCATTATGCCCGGGCACATTCACAAAAAAGGAAGAATTGGTGAGATGTCTCGTGTGTGTGTGTGTGTGTGTGTGTGTGTGTGTGATGCATTACTCGCTCTTAAATAAAACACACCCTCATCTTTAGGGGTTTATTTAAAAAACAAAAAATAGATTGTATCTGTAACCAAAGGACCGTCACTGATTTCATGCTCAGTCTGCACCAATTCTTAAAATAGAAAAGTGTTGAATTTTCTTTGGGCAGTTGTTACAAACTGTTACACCTGCCTAGCCTGCACACCGTCAGAGTGAAAAGGCAGAAATCAGTTGAGCATCTGTGGTGCATTAATGCCTGGGTGGTAATAAACTATAAGTGAGTGTCAGCATGGTGAAAACATCCCTGTCGCCGTAGCACAGCTCGATAACACTTAACAACAGCTTGACAGCAGAATTAGTCCCTCCCACATCCGTGCTGAGCTAATTGAAGCTCATGAAAGCTTCTTTTTTAAGATAAGAAATGCCATTCAACCCAGTCAAAAACTTTTCTGTGATTTGTGCCTAAATCCTTGAAGCAACCTCTTTCTGTTGACAGCTTGATGAGCACCGTGTCCTGCTGGTGAACCTTTACAGAATGTCTTTATAAATCGACTGCCTTTATTTCCAGAGAGCAGCTGTTACAGAGCTCTGTTATAACTCTCATCTGTCTTGTGATTCAGTGAAAGTGGGACAGAAACAGGCAGCTACGCTGTTTTAGTGATTTTATTGATGAAATTGTTTCAGCGGTGTGTGTTTGTGTGTCTTGTGCCTGTACCAACAAGTTTTTTTTTAAACCTACCTTCCAGGCATTGTTTCTAGATCGGGGACCTTGACGTATGAAGCGGTCCACCAAACCACACAAGTTGGCCTGGGCCAGTCGCTCTGCGTGGGTAAGCCACCTATGTTTTCAATAGATGTACAATCCAACATCCATCAGTTCTTTTAAAGAGCAAGTTCACCAAGAAACCTTCTTTTACTTTTTATTTAAAAAAATGATCATGCACTCTGAATTTAACATAAAGGCTGAACATGAAAACAGCCTCCTACCCGTTTCCTGCATTTGCTTCAGATAGAAATTAGGCAGAAAAAACGCTCGGTTTAGAAAACGCTGACAGGTCTACGTCACACCGCCACTGTGCATTCATGGACTCGCCCACCTTGACTCACGACAGGGAAGGCTGTTGTTGGTTTAGCGCTGTTTCCCAACCCTGCTCCTCAGGGCACACTGACCTGCATGTTCTCCATGTCTCTGCTTCAGCACACCTGATTTACTTCACCTCCTCAGGAGGACGTCAAGTGCTGCAGATGCCTGTTAATCACTCATTCATTTAAGTCGGGTGTGTGGCAGCAGGGAGACACTGGTGTTTGAAAGGGCAACATGGAAGTCATGCAGGACAGTGTTCCCTGAGGAGCAGGGTTGGGAAATACTGGTTTAGCGTCCAGGAAACAGCAGAGAACGTCTCGACTAGTAGAAGCTAACTGTTAGCATTAGCAACTCCACCACACAGCAGAACTACTCCAGGCTTGTCTCGTTTGTAAAGATAAAACATCAATGTTGCAAAGTAGGGCTGTAGCGAAGCCTCGACGAAGTCGACGGCTCGATTCTAAAAATTTGTCGACGTCAGATCTGGAAGTCGACGCACCGCGCCCACTTGTTGCATCCCCAGGAGTTTGTAAATAGAGGAGGAATCTGCCTGTTTTTCCTGTAGTTCGCCCTCTTCTCCGCCTTCACTAACATCTCCGCCAAATACCGAAGACCCGGAACAATGTCCGTCCACTACTAGATTATTTTCCTGTTTTGCCCCTTCGTCTCCCGGCAACGGACAACAACTTCCGGGGTCAGACGCGCTGCTTCGTGTCTATCGCAGATGTAGAAAATCACCGGGAGCGCTTCTCCCTTCATTAAGGAGCTTCTTTCAGACATTAGGAGAGCTGTTTTGGTGGTAGCAGTCTCTCCTCCGTGCTGGTCTGTTTGCTGCTGGGTATTTTTGGTTTATTTAAACTTGGTAACTTGAACTTAACGTTGGTAAAGCTACTGTTAGCATCTTCGCTAACAGCTTCTTGCGTTGGGATAAGCTGTTACGTTTTGGTTTAGAGTTCATCTTTTTTGTGGTTTAGATCTCCCTTTTTATTACATTTAGAGTGTTGTGGGTTTTCGGTTTAGTGTAAAATATCACCTGAGTTTGGTTTAACCCGTAAGACCACTCGCCTCACGCACATAAGTGACCAAAACAAAGCTGCATGGAGACACTCCGTCTTCTACCACCTCTCAGGCAGCAGCCTGCACTCCCAAGTTCTACATGTCACCAGAACATAACCAACTGCAACACAATAAAAGCATGGAAGGCCTGTAGTGTTTATTCTCTTACAGTAAGAATTTATCAATTTTTTTGAGGAATTTATTTGAGATTTTCTGGTTTTTGTTAATTGTGCAATAGAAAAATAATCATTAGATTAATTTTCTAAATAGTCATTAGAATAGTCGACTATTCGATAAAATAATCGTCAGAATAATCATTTTAAAAATAATCGTTTACCCCCAGCCCTATTGCAAAGCAAACAGAAAAGGAGTGGAGTAATGTTGCTGTTATCCAATCAGAGGAGAGATGTTCAAATATTAGGAAATAAGGCTCCAAAGCTGACCGTCTGCTGCCACTTTCTGGCTCACTTCCACGCCTCAAACAGGAGCATAAGAGCTATTTTTCCCCAGATAATAAATTATAAGGTATTCATTCCTACTAGAGACAACTGCAAATGATAAAAAGTATGATTAAAGTGTATCTTTAAAGCTTTTAGCATAAATTTATATGACTCCATGGGCTACTGAGAGCTGCCATTAGCAGAATGTTACATTCGTTTGTCTTTCATTTAGGTCTGTCACTTAGTTCCTCTCTTTCTTGTGTTTTATTCATTTGACTTAAATATTCAAAATTTACTCCAGAATGTAGAAGATTTTGCATACGTGTTATTTAGAAGTCTGGAAGTATTTCTAGAAAAATGATCCAAGGTGTTTCGTTTCATGTTTAGTCACCGTTCATAGATACAATAAATGTCAGTGGTTGAGACAGAAGGCTGTCGGTAATAATTTCCTTTAGGAGCTGACAAAATGTGTGTTAAATAATTCGGATTTTTTTATCTGGAACAACTTTATATGAAAAGGAATCCAGATTAATATGATTTTTGTTATTTTATTAGCATCATTATTCATAATTTACTGTAGATGTAATTTATGAAAGCCCAGCATGTTTTCTTATAAGTGATAATAGTTGGCGGCCATTGGGTAGCAGTGTATTATGGGTAGTGGTATAATCCCCTTTTCTGGGTGCTACTTTTTGAGAGACGAGCCTTTCTGTTTAGTCTTTGTAATTTGAACCGGAGCACCGTGTCGCTGACGTGGAGAGCACTAAAGATAATACTTCAAACGTACTTGGATGTGGAGAAGATCAGAGAGGTGGGAAGGTGAGCGTGGAGCAAAGTTGATGGGGGTGTAAGTGGCAGCTGAGAGCTCCACCTTCTGACACCAACTGCCCAGCATATTGTAGAAAGGAGGGGGCGTTAGCTTCGGCTGAGGGCAGAGCAAAGGCTGTACTGAAGCAGATTTGTCTCCAGTGCAAAAAGGACCATGTTCACACATTCTGTTCAGCAGCTTCTTCATTTTTAAAACCTCACAGAGCGTTAAATAAAATCACAATTAATGCAAAGTGATTTCTGTGATTATTCTTTCCTTTTTTAAACGTTTTTCCTCATTGTGCTTCATTCGTTTTTTTTTCTATCCACAATAACGGAGATTTAACATCCATCCATCCATTTTCATCCGCTTATCCGGAGTCGGGGAGCGGGGGCAGTAGCCTAAGGCGAGAGGCCCAGACTTCCCTCTCCCCAGCCACTTGGGCCAGGTCCTCCAGGGGGAATCCCAAGGTGTTCCCTGGCCAGGTGAGAGACATGGTCCCTTCACCGTGTCCTGGGTCTACCTTTAGGTCTCCTCCCGAATGGACGTGCCCAGAAAACCTCACCAGGAAGGCGTCCTGACCAGATGCCCGAGCCACCTCAACTGGCTCCTCTTGATGTGGAGGGGCAGCAAATCTACTCGGAGACCCTCCCAGATGTCCGAGCTTCTCACCCTATCTCTAAGGGAGAGCCCAGCCACTCTGCGGAGAAAACTCATTTCAGCCGCTTGTATCCGCAATCTCGTACCCAAAGCTCATGACCATAGGTGAGGGTAGGAACGTAGATCCGACCGGTAAATCGAGAGCTTCGCCTTCTGACTCAGCTCTCTCTTCACCACGACAGACCGGTACAACGCCCACATCACTGCAGATGCAGCACCAATCGCCTATCAATCTCACGCTCCAGTTTTCCCTCACTCGTGAACAAGACCCCGAGATACTTAAAGTCCTCCACTTGGGGCAGGACCTCATCCCTGACCCGGAGAAGGCATTCTACCCTTTTCCGAATCATTTAACATTATACAGATTTTTAGCCTACATTTATTCTGGATTAACCTACACATGTAAATAAAACAGCCGCCGTTTTGACATACGCGTTTTGCAGGTATTATTACATAGAGGTGTGAATCTTCACTTGTCTCCCGATTCGATTACAATTATTGGGTCAACGATTCAATTCGATTCGATATCCCGATGCATCACGATTATTTCATATTGATTTGTTTTCATCGATAAATAGAAGATGTCAGATAATTGCTTTTTATTTTTTATTATCAAAAACTTAATTGACACAACCTGCCATCCCTCAAAAGCTCTCCATTCACAACAGGTTAGGACAAAACATTTTAAACACTTAAGAAGATTTAACAAAGCAAAACAATCTGTTTCCTGGTTCAACACCACGCCTCAGGCTGAGAAAAACACGCTTGGCAAAAACTCACAAAATCTAAAAAAGTACTGAAAACCTACAGGACACATAATGTAATAATAAAATACATAATGGGTTCATATATGAGTGTTTAATGTCTCTGAGCAGCTTTAGAGTCCAATATTTATGCCCCAGTTGAAGGGTGTCAGAAATAACACCAAATGAAATGTTTGACTTAGTTTATTTTATTTGAACTCAGTGGTTCGTTTCTGAAATGCTGGACAATGAATCAAGTTCTGTTTGATGCAGAAAATAATAAAACATAAAACAAATTCTACACTTCTAATAATATTTAAGATGTGTGTTTTATTCTTTCTGATAATAACCCCAGCAGAAGGCTGTGGGCTGGATTAGGATTAAATTACCCAGCTGGTGGATCTCCTTCACTAACCAGCTAACTACAAACCTTTCCACTAACCTGTCCTGTGGGACCCTCACCATGTGACCCTCATGCCCATGCTGTCTCTGGAGGAGCAGATAGGAGACAGATCTCCTGTAACTTAAAATGAACCAAAGCTTCCTCCCAGTTTCTCGTTCAGCTGAATTTAACATCAGTTTATCATCATGAAACAAAAGAATAAAGTGGAAAAGAGAACTTCTATCTTCTATTTCGCTCTCCTTTTAACTTCTCCGTGTCCCTAAATAAAAGAGACAGACGATCACGCTGCAGCCGCCGTCATTGACCCCTCCCCGAGACCGCATCGCAGCACTCGGTCTGACTGAGCACTTCCAGGAGAAATAATAATTAAATTAAGAAAATAATAATGCGTGTCTCTCTCTCTCTCTCTCTCTATCTATCTCTATCTCTCTCTATCTCTCTCTCTCTCTCTCTATCTCTATCTCTATCTCTCTCTCTCTCTCTCTATCTCTATCTCTCTCTCTCTCTCTCTCTCTCTCTCTCTCTCTCTCTCTCTCTCTCTCTCTCTCTCTCTCTACAAGAACCCTTGTTTGACAATGACTTCTTCTCTCAAGCTGGCATTTTAAGTTCATCTGCGTTGAAAGTGAAGTTCACCAGTGCTGGGATTGTAAAGTTTGGTCACTTACTGAAGATCCCGGCTGGAACCCTTGGTGAGCGGTTGGATGTGAGGTCCACCAGAGTGATGGAGAGAGTGGTGGAGGAGGTACGGAGGTCCTTGTCTGTGTCGCAGAGAGCCTTCATTGAGACTTGTACTCTATCTGACCAATGGGATGATGACAGTGAGTATGTTTTTCCGTCTCTGGAGGTTAAAGCCGCTGGTGAGGGATGGCAGGAGGAGAGTGGATTACTGCTGAACCCGAACACTCCAGTGTTGGGCTCTTTCCAGTCTTGTGGGAAGAAACAGCTCTATCAAACTTGTGTGAAGGTTATCAATAGGCGCTCCTTGTTAGGAGTCAAGGAGTCGAGGTGGACTCAGGTGTTTGCTGCGGACAATGCCCCTGGGGGGAGCTGGAGGAGTTTGTATAAGTCTCCAGTGGAAAAAAGGATGGCAGACCTCCAGTGGAGGATCATACATGGAGCTTTAGCTACGAACTGACACAGAGCCCGCTTTGATCCAAGCACCGGGGAGGGACGTCCTTTCTGTAACCAAACCGAGACCCTAGAGCACCTAGTGGTAGCATGTTCTAGGTTATCAGGGATGTTTAAGGTTTTAGAACGGTGGGTTAGTGCTCTGGGGGAGACTTTTACCCTGCACTTATTCGTTTTCGGGCCCAAGTACAGTGTCAGAAAAAAACGGACAATACTGTTAATTAACTTTTTATTTGCATGTGCGAAACTAGACATCTGAAAAACCAGGAAAAACCAGATGCTGGGACAGAGCTGGACTGATGCTGAGAGGAGTCTGAAGGGCCTGGTGGAAGCTCGCTTAAAGATCGAACACGCTTTTTACGAACTTACTGGGAACCTGGACTGGTTTAGAGCGGTGTGGGGGATCGGGCAGGTGCTCTGTCTGCTGGATGGACAGGGCTCCCTAAAGATCAACTTCTAAACTGGTTTATCAGTTGCCCTGGTTTTATTAGTGGAAACCAAGTTTCAGTCATTAACACTGATTGTTGATCTGTAAAGAAAAATAAATCATTTAAAAGTCAAAAGTCTCTCTCTCTCTCTCTCTCTCTCTCTCTCTCTCTCTCTCTCTCTCTCTCTCTCTCTCTCTCTCTCTCTCTCTCTCTCTCTCTCTCTCTCTCTCTCTCTCTCAGTTGCTGTGCGAGCGAGTGGAGCGCACAGTGTAACAACCCACTAAATTAACATAATTTACAGCCCAAATCCAACAGAACCGGTCAGGCTGATCCGGTTCGGTCTCAGGTTACAACTCTAGCGCTCAGACCTGCAGTACCACATTAAGGTGGAACCACTTGGTAAATGTGGAGGACGCTCACTCTGACAGTTGTGGATGCTGCGCTGGTGCCGCCGTTAAAAAAACAAAACTACATTCCACTATAATCGATTATGGCAGTACTCTTCCACGATGCAGAATCGTTTATGTCTGCATCCCGATGCATCGGCTATTTGATTATATTCCTCAGCTCTATTATTACATCCCTAGTTTTTGCGCTGCTAAAACAGTGTTTTGTCAAAGTTAGCCCTCCCCATCTAGATGATGTGAATGATTCTTGAAAAGCACCCTCATGTTATAAAGAGAGTCCAGTTTCTTGAATGTGGAGAATAAAAAATATCTTTGAAGTACCGTGCTGAGATAAAGGTTGTTGGTGAAAGTCAAAGTAAAGTAGAGATGTTTTATAGGCCTCAGTTCACTTTAGCTTTATGTATTTGTGATAAAATGTCTCAGAACGTTCTCTAAGCTCAGTGGAGCTCTACTGCTTCCTGCAGCTTGTTGTTTTGTGAGCTACCCGCCCGGAGCCCCAAACAAGAGGCACGCTAAGTTGAGGATCTGCTGCTGAGCTAGATGTTTTAAGCTGGAGAAGACTGAAAAAATGTCTTGAATCTGGTCTGCTGAAAATATATTTCTAAACCAATTTTCCCCTTTTCACATTTGATTGAAACTAACGGAAATTCAAATGATGTTAACCTGCTAATACTGGACTAAACTTATTATCAGCTACGGTAGAATAAAAAAAAGTGTGTGTGTGTGTGTTCCTGCATATGGTTTTGGTTGGTTTGGTGGGCGACGGTGGCACAGGAGTTAAGTGCTCGCCCCGTAATCGGAAGGTTGCAGGTTCGAGCCCCGCTCAGTCTGTCGTTGTGTCCTTGGGCAAGACACTTAACCCACGTTGCCTGCTGGTGGTGGTCGGAGGGACCGGTGGCGCCAGTGCTCGGCAGCCTCGCCTCTGTCAGTGCGCCCCAGGGCAGCTGTGGCTACATTGTAGCTCATCAACACCAGTGTGTGAATGTGTGTGTGAATGGGTGAATGACTGATTGTGTTGTAAAGCGCCTTGGGGGGTTCCAGGACTCTAGAAGGCGCTATATCAAATACAGGCCATTCATGTAAGTATGGGCCAGATAAGAAAAACTAGCATTTGTTTGTCCTGTCATACAAAGCAATGACTATGTTATTATCATGTAATTATATAAAAATACAGTAATAATATAAATTAATAAAGAATAAATGAAAGTTAAATAAAAACTGATATTTGACACCTGCAGTACTGCAGTAGATTTTCCACAAATAGGCAGAAGAAACGTAAAGCAGGCTCACATGCTGAGAATCTCCAGCAGGGTGCAGGCAGACCAGTTCTAACGATGAAACCATGACTTCTCTGTTTTCAGAAGGCAGTTATAGTTACAGTTGGGGCTGCACGATCAGTCAGAGTTTAGTCACAGTTACGATCTAGGTTTTCAACGATTATAAAACAAAAAGAACCGATAATTTGCTCCTCCTAGGGGTGGAAATTGATACGTTTTTATCAATATCAATGGCATTGTCGATTCAGTCTATCGATCCAATTCCCTTATCAGTTCCAGATTATCAGACCGACGGCTGAAAACCCGCTTTGAAGAGCTTATGGCACAGACATGCGGGTACTTTGGGGCAAGCCGCACCACTTGGATGCATATTTCCACCAGAGAAGTGTTGTTCTTATTTAACACCAGGCTCCAAACAGAAGGCTGCTATTTCAGCTCCAGCTCGCTCGTCTGCTGTGCCGACAGAGCCTGCATCTTTCGCGATCATCTTTTGTTTACACAAATGACCTCATCGGTCTTTTTAAGTTTGCTTCAAAGCCGAAATATTCCCAACTGCAGAAGTTGTTCTTTTTAGACACAAAGCTGGTGCACGAGCTCCCAGTTTCCTCTCGGCGCGGTTACCTGATGACATCACGCTCATAAACTTTATGGAACGTCTTTAACATTTGGATAAAACATTTTAAACAATTTAAATAAAACAAAATTCAACTACACACCTTTTTTATACATGAAATGACTTGTTTTTATTATTTATTTAGTTATATATTTTTAATCCTGGTCTTCTACGTGCTCGGTTATTTTTTCAGAACGGTATTGGAACTGACACCGTTGCTATTTTTTTACATCGCCTTAATACCGCCCAAGCCTAGTCCTACAAGGCTTCAATAACAATCAAAGCTAACTCTCACTGCTGCCATTTTGAGCTACACTCACTTCAAGTCCATCCAGCATTAAACAGCCAAGTTAAGTTCATAGTTCTTAGAAAATATGAACACCAATCATGAACACTCATTTAAATACGTTCATGCACAACACCGACTGTGGGAATTGCAAACAGATGGCTGTATGCTAATTAGACTACTGTGTTTTTGTATTTTACGAGAAAAATCAGTTTGCAAATGAGGTCAAAATCTTGACAATTCTTAATTAACATTAAGTGAAATCATTCCGAATAATTGTTTTACTTGTCAGAGTTTACTGACATAAAGTTTTCTTCACCTGCTTCTTATTTTACTATCAATCTTTCTCAGATATTCAAATCAACCATCCCCTGATAGTCCTTGAGTGAAAACGTGGTTTGTCTTTTCTCCTGCAAGGTATCGGTGGGGATCCATTTAATGGAACAAACTTCATAGACTGTCTGGAGGTGTTCCTGCAGGATCCCAAGACAGAGGGCATCATTCTTATTGGAGAGATCGGAGGGAACGCCGAGGAGAACGCCGCTGAATTTTTGAAAGAGCACAACTCTGTAAGCAAAAGACAAACTGACAGCGTTTGTTTCTTCTTGCTCGCCTGGTGATAATGTCTCCTGCATGCATTTATGACAGCTTGCGTGAGTGTTTGTATAAAAAATGTGTGGTTTCTGAATTAGCACTTTAGACGTTAACCTCCTTGAAATCTGTCAGCTCTCAGATCTTCACACAGTGAGAACATGGCGAAACTGTGAGCTTGCTTTTTGTTTCTTTGATCACGGCCTCGGGCGTTCTCTCTTCTTTTTTCTGTGATTTGTGTAATGGAGGTAAAAGGTGGCAGATGGGATAAAAGTGTGATCTGCAGGTCATGGTGACGAAATCATCAACAGTGATGAACGGTGGATCTGATCTGAGCCACTTGCTATTGACATCTTTAACTACACCAGGCCTGAACTTGGCGTTTCTTGTCTTGCAGATTACTTTTACCACATTAATTCTTCTGCATGTGTGTGTGTGTGTGTGTGTGTGTGTGTGTGTGCGCGCGCGCGCGCAGATAAATCACGCTCTTGAGCTGAGAAATGGATTTGACTCGCTCTCGGCTGCTCTAATGCATGCAAATCTCCTGCTGGCGTCTCAGGAGAATGACTTCTCTCTCTGAACAAATAAAGTACAAACACCCCTCCCTCCCTCCCACGCACACACACACACACACACACACACACACACACACACACACACACACCACCCAGTCACCCAGAGTGTTGACACTGAGGGAGGGTTCAAATGAAACACAAGCGTGAAAATGCCTTGCAGGGAGTGAGCTGCAGATTCCCCATTGGAAGTCAGCTGTGTAGGAAATAGTTCATAAAAACGGTGCACTTAGACTTATTTATTAGAGTCCAGCACCGTGCAAAGATGTCAGAACGTATTGTTTTCAGTTTGAATCAAACTAAACTTTTCTTCGTTAGAACACATTTGAATTCATGCCACTGAGACTCTAGTCTCACATAGGCAGAGGCATCTCCACAGCTCTGTGTCAGCACCGTGGTCAATCTTGCTGCCTCATTAATAATTCTGCTGTAAATGAAGGAAAGGCAAAACCTCCGATTTGCTCAGCAGTTTGTAAATATGCCCAATTTTGTGCTTCGTTTCCTTTTTACTCGCTAGAGGAGCGTCAGCTGAAAAGGAACTGAGGTAGAAATGTGGAAAAATAGTGATCCAAATACATCCTTTATTGAAATAAGCGACTGAAGTGCCTCTATCTGCTCATGTCTCAAAGGAAAAAGTCCAAATCTCAATTGTCCAAAGTTGATGCCTGAGCCGACGCCATCTTTGTAGTTTTTCTCTGTCGCAGCTCTGGTGCTAAACCCGCCTGACACCTTTCTACAGAGATAGAACGCTGTGATTGGCCAGACCTAAAATGGTCAACTTCAGTCCAATGTCGGGCCTACTGAGGCTACAAAGGAACACGGCTAGTCTGACCCACTGCTACAGTTGGTTTAAGTTTCAAAGCTAACAGATTTAAGTAGAGATGATAAAACAACACAGCTGCTGATTGTTTGTGTTGAAATCAAACTGAACAAGGGTTGATGTCTGGATCTAGACCGGTTGTCCAGCTAGGTGTCCATTACCCCTACCTCCTCCTCATATGCATGTTCATGAATATGAATTCTCACCATGAAGCAGGTTAGTTTTGGGAGATGGAATAAAGCACTCCTCCTGTCATGTTAGCACGCAGACAGTGAAACTCTCCTTTTGGCCCCATAATAAAGGTAATAAATCTGCATCGCTAACAGAGAGAGAGACAATAAAGAAAATGGGTGAAGTGAATAATCTGAATTCACTCCCTCTCTGCATTGTTTCTTAGTGCCAAGAGAGGCAGGACTTAATAGAGTAATTAAACCTGTTTTGCTTGAGGTAGATTTAAGGCTGGATTCACATGAGGGCGGTTTGTGTATTCACAACGTGCTTTGATTTCTAAGTAGGCTGTTTTCTGCTAATTTGTTTTTTTTATTTTTTCTTTGCTCACAATTTTTCCAATGGCGGGAACAGATGCTTGTAGCATATTTGGAGCACTTTAAAATCATATTCCCCCTCTCTTCCCATCTCCCTGCTAACTCTGCAAGTCTTAATGTTCTCGTTAGCGGGTGCGTTTTGATCCAAAACCCTCAACGCTTCTCTGGCTGATGCATGTCCTGCTGCTCTCAATTATCAGGAGTCATCTTCAGCTTACATTAGGGGCTGCCGTCTTGCTCCTGCCAGTGTCATCTTTAAATTTGATGCTGAAATGGTCGCAGAAGTGAGTGTCTTTGAAGGACCTCACTGCATTGCTGTGGCTGTTAAACATGCCACATTCGCTCTCTGAGCGCTGTCTGCCAGATGAGCTACAGCCTACACACACACACACACACACACACACACACACACACACACACACACACACACACACACACACACACACACACACACACACACACACACACACACACACACACACACACACACACACACACACACACACACACACACACACACACACACACACACACAGACGTCCTCTGCAATTACGTTGTTATTCCTAAGTATGAAATATTAGCTGCCGTGTATGCACACACATCGCTGTCATCCCTTTTTTTTTGCTAGTTATGATGATATTGCTGGAGATGAAATATTAGCTCTCTTCACCTTGGAGATGATCTTAACTGCTGAATGTAACATCCATCAATGAGCAAGCAGCATAGACAAGCACTGAGCTAATCACTGGCTGCATGACTAATTACCACTTCAGAAATGAGATGATATAAAATGGCAGGAGCCTGAGCCCCTATCTGGTCACACACCCGCCCATGCAATTAAATGGCTTGATTGACCCCTTGTTTTAATAATGCAGGCTTAGACAGAGATGGCTGGTTAGACTTTCCTGTTATCATTACATTCCCTAATGCCAGAGCACAAGGTGCTTTGTGTCTAATGAATGACTAAAATGCAGGTGGACAAAACAAATGATTTCAGTTTTTTGCCCAGTCCCCCCTCTCCCCTTGCTGCGTTGTTCTGTTAAACCCAGCTGAATTGCACTTTTACTTGAGAATTGAGTTTTTCTATCCATTTTTCCTCAAATGTAACCCTTTTCTTTACCCTTCTATAATCCAGGGCGCTAATGCAAAGCCCGTGGTGTCCTTCATCGCGGGGCTAACGGCTCCTCCTGGCCGCAGGATGGGCCACGCTGGTGCCATCATTGCTGGTGGAAAAGGTGGAGCCAAAGAGAAGATAGCAGCCCTGCAGTCAGCCGGAGTTGTTGTCAGCATGTCCCCTGCTCAGCTGGGAAGCACCATGTTTAAGGTGAGCCTTTTGTCTCCTGTTTGTGGATTGTTGTAAACACTGTATAAATGAAGGTACGTCAGCGGTCTAACAACTAGAAAAAGGTAACACGTTCTGGATTATTTTACATGAATACACATTTCTATAGAAAATGTACTCCAGTGATGCTGGTCACATTAATAAAATGTGTAAAATAGTTGAAATAAGCTCTGCTTCCACCACCTACAGCTTGAAAAATATATGTACATGTTGTTGTAACAGTATGGCTTACATAATACCACACGCTAGAAAACCTGTCATTAATTCTAACTAGGACTGTTACTTAATCACGTTATTCTGCAGTTTATGCATGATCTGTGCTCCATCAACATGTCCATAACCCTAATAGAGTATCAGTGTTTGACCATTACCACACATTGGTAAAACGCATGAATGTAATTTACACCACTGATCAAAATAAGGTAATTATTTTCCTTTGTGTTTGAGCAAAATGGCCAGACAGCATATCCTGACCAGAAAGTGAAAGCTTAATTAAATAAAACCGTAAATAATCTCATTTTGCTAAATAGAAATCTAAATCTCTCTGTAGTAAAGGTGAGAATTGCGTCTTGTTTCCCGAGGGGTTGCTGGGAGTCGGCACCATAAAACAAGTTAGATTTAACCCTTCCCCTTGGAGTTCTGTCTGACATTTATAAAACATCACCTGTTGATGATATAAAGTTAGGAGTGTGTCTCATTCCTGTCTGTGGTCTTTATCTATCATCAGACTTTAACATGAAACTTCCACAATCCCGTCACGTCTGTGGCTTGACTATTCATCATTGCATAAAGGCAATTTAAAGCTTCTCAGTCACCAAGTGGCATTTTGCAAAAAGCGTCTTATCCGTGGCGAAAACATAATTCAGAATTTATTGGACTGAAATGTTTCCCCTTGTTGTTTTGCTGCATCTCATCGGTTCGATCCTTTGCAGGATTGCTTCTGTTGATTCAGTATCAGTTGGAAGTGCAAGGTTCTGCTTCTGTTGTTGCCGTCACATTTAAAAGAAACAAGATCCTTGCTTTGGAATTAGGAATTCTAGTTTCAAATATTGAAATCACAAAACTGGGAAAAAATGTCTTCACTTAGGGGTGAATCGTCTAACGCCCATCCCTGCATGGTGTCACAAAAAGAATAAAGAGAAGAACATGTGTATTCTTTATGTGAGGGTGGATAAAACAAATGACTAGATTACCCTAATTCACTGTAGTTTTATGGAAGTAACTTTCAGCTTTAGATCTAAATATTTAAAATTGCATCCATTCTTCAAACCCATTCACCAACCAACCCACCCATCCATTTATTACATCACTGGGTTCATAGGGCACCACCTGCCACGTGGACCTCAAGGGATAAACCATCAATCCTGCTCAATGGTCAACTTTCCTGGCAGGGTCACCTAATAGGACAGTGGGAGGGTTAAGGAAAGATCCCTGGCCCTCCCTCTTCCCGGTTACCTTTTCCAGCCTATTCAGAGGGACCCTAATGTATAGCCTCTCCAGGAAGTCCTAGGTCCACCCTGAGGTGCTCTACTGGTGGGACATGTCTGAAAGACCTCTCTTGAACAGTGGCCAGAAAACAACCTCTGGCAGTATACACCTTTTGACTTTTGGAACTTGACTTTATACTGATCTTCACCCCAACTGCTTCAAATTTCTCTGCAAACCATCCAAATGGCTGTTGGAGGCCCCAGCTTGGAGACATCAACAGGAAAAACACAGTTATTCAATCTTCAACCCCACCATTCCCTACCATCATAAATACAAATCAAACTCTCACTGGTTGTGCTCGGACCCAATGGCCCCTAACAAGACGCGTTAAACTAAGCACCACCTACCGAACACTACCAGGAACAGGGTTGATGAAAACTCACATGTTCCCTAATCCTTGTAAGGGTGAAAATTGTTGGTCCAGTGTTCTAAGATTGGCACAAAACCTGCATTTGCTCCTCCTGAGTCTTGGGTTTGACCACCATAGCCACTTTCAAAAGACACACCATGGCAGCATATCGGGGTAAAACTGCCACCACGATGTGTCTTTTGAATGTGGCATGGCGAGGCAAGAATATTGCACCATTCGTGCCACCAAGCTTGATAGTAATTTTACCACAATGCTTGACTTCTGAACAAAGATGTGTGAAATGTCCGCTGACCACGGCTGGCAACGATATTTAAATGTAATAAACATGGGGAGTCTCTTTCACATTTGGTAACATTATCAACTGAGATGCAACCTGGAGCGATGCAAAGATCTGGGAGCTTCTGGCCATTTGAGCTGAAGCACAGATCACAGGGACTGTGAAATGGTAAATGGCCTGTATTTGATATAGTGCCTTCTAGAGTCCTGGAACCCCCCAAGGCGCTTTACAACACAATCAGTCATTCACCCATTCACACACACATTCACACACTGGTGGGGATGAACTACAACGTAGCCACAGCTGCCCTGGGGCGCACTGACAGAGGCGAGGCTGCCGAGCACTGGCGCCACCGGTCCCTCCGACCACCACCAGCAGGCAACGTGGGTTAAGTGTCTTGCCCAAGGACACAACGACAGCGACAGACTGAGCGGGGCTCGAACCTGCAACCTTCCGATTACGGGGCGAGCACTTAACTCCTGTGCCACCGTCGCCCCAGTGAAGGTCAGCCACCTTTTAGCTAGGCTTCAATCGGGATAAAAACAAGTCACATTTCAGCTAAAAGATCTCAATGAAAGCATGTCTTCAGCAGGGACACCACCTCCACAACACATTTATACCAACGTCGTGTCATTTTTGTGAAAAACACACAATTGCACCACATTACCACCACAGGTGCACCACTTACCAATAGCCAAAGGCTCGCTGATGCCTCGTCTGATTTGTGACAAAGTGGCACATTAGTTTTTTGAGAGGTGCTAACTTTAATCACAGAGCTGTTGCTAATGTGAAGAAGTGCTCAAGGAAGCAGATTGTTTTCTCTTGCTGGCAGAGTTGAATTTTTTTTGTGCAATTACAAAAAAAATGCAGAATAGAAGTGCAGAAATTAATAATGACATGGTGACACCGGCTGAGTCGGCGCCGCTGCGTCTTTATTTAACTTCCTCTCAAGGGAGGCGTCATTAACAAGATGTATAAAAAGTGAAAGCATGTATTACTCCCATTCGTCATCCTGTGCTTTCATTACCACTGCTGGCACTACTGCACACAGATATAGATTTACATGACATTTTTTTTCTCGGAGTTTAATTCATAATCATTGTGTGTAATGATGAAAAACCTGCCGTGTTGGCGCTCATTTTGCCAAACGTTGTATTCATGCATCTCTCTTAGTCTCATTGACCACTGTAAACCAAGTAAGAGAAGCAAGTAGACAATAATGCTTCAGATGTGGCTAAAAAAAGGGGGGGGGGGGGCTTCTCCAGTCCCAGCTGTTTGGGTTCAGGGGTGCAACATCTATATCCACCAACCTGGATGATCTATATCAAAACTGGATTCATTTAATATGTTGTATAAACTGAGTTTTGCACCTTCATTGGAAATAAACACAAGTTAAACAAGATGACCTCCTTTTCTCCACCGCATTCTCTGTCCAGGTGGGAGGTACGAGTCTAATAAACAAGAAGTGATTAAATCCCTGTTGACTGGCAACTCTGTGATGATTAAAAATATTCTTAGCTTTGGACTTAGGAGCCACGGCCACTGGGAGATGCAAAGCAAGAGCTTGTTATCAACACAGAAAGTTCAAAAAGGGGGTACGAGAAAAAAGATTAGATTGGAACGAGTTTGTGTCTCATAAGTGAGTTAGAAATACCATCATGGCTGTAAGAGGTTTGAAGTGAAGCTCGATTAGACTGGAGGAAGTTTGTGTAGCCCCTCGGAAAAGGAGAAGGGAAGTTCGCTTTTTTAAATCACGACACAAAATGAAAATTCTTTTAGATGATGAAATAATGTTCACCTGCATGATCATCCTTATTAGGCTCTCAAGTTCTTGAATGTTTATTTTATGAGCTGTTTTGAAGTTTTATTTAGCAGATTTGTAACTTAAAATGCTTCATGTCTGGATAAAAGGTTTTATTATGAAATATCTATTCTCGATTCTTGTCTTTATAACAGTTGGTATAATTGCCTTGAATGTGTGTAGTTTGGGTCTCCTTTGATGAGTTGTTGTCGTCTTTTATTCCGGTATAAAATATTGCCACAATGAAGAAGTATTTCTGTTATGTTGTATTCTTTATTGTTTTATTTTAAGCTTTTCCTGTTCACAGATTTTTGTGTTCTCTGAAACTAAAAAAAACTCAAAATATGAGATCTTGTTTTTAACAACATAAACTATTCAAAGCTTCAATTGACACTTGAAGCTGGTCTTACCCCCAAATTCCACTACCTCCGCTCCGCTCCGCCACGAACGCCGGAGCAAAATCGGTCCCGTTGTAGTCAATCAGAGCAATTCCACTACTGCGGCCGTGCTCCGGCAGTGCGGCGCCGTGCGCCGCCCTCTGTTCCGGCGTCCGGCAAAAATAGAATCGATCCTATTTTCGCCGGACGCCGGAGCACCTCCGCAGTAAATGGACAGAAATCACAAACGCCCAACAGGAAAAGGAGCAAGCACAACTTCCGTTTTTCACAATAAATCGATAAACAAAAGGCGCTTTTTGTTTCATATGCACAGGTTTAACAACTTTTAACAACTATCAATGGCGGCTGAAGTTTAAATGCACAAAAGTAAGCCATAAACACAGTTTCTACTATCAGAGTAGTCACACTTTGTTGATCCAAACACTGCTGATCTCTCAACACAAATGATGGGCAGATTAAACAGCTCATGCCGATGCTTCTCCCACACAACGGGTGTTTGGATCTAACTTCCGCGTTTATTGCTCGGACTGTATCGCAAGATCTCGAAAATCCCGCGCGTGCCTGTTTGCCCACCTCAGGTCTCCGCACCGGAGCGGAGCCGTTGTAGAGGGGGTAGCAGTAAAAATTGAGTTCGGAAGCGAGCGGCTG